TTGCGTATGTACATGTAGACTATCTTGGGATTGGGCGTTGAAAAGAGATGTGTAATAATTATACAGAAATCCTTTTAATGGGTACCGTCGGTGTGGATGTTACACGATTAAGTACGAAGAAGTGACTTTTAAAATTATAATCATGATAATGGTGAATTCTTATATAGCTCTCATGTTCGTCATGCTCTGATGATTCTAGTACTCTTGTGCATTATAATTTTATGTAGGCTATTTCATCAGGAAGTATCGCTTACTTGACATGACGTAAAGTTTTGATAGGCAAAAGAATATACGTTGTAAAATAAGTGAAATGACCTAAAAATGAAGTGTATTTGGATAATTGCTAATGATGTATATTGGTATTTTACTTCCAGTATTTTGATTTTAATTGGAGATAAAGAATCATCTTTTTGTTCCTTCCTTTCGACACAAATATTCGTTGCACACCAACAATGTTGATACTTATCTGAATTTAAAGCTAACCCCACTTTGCATATAACGCCTCAAACAACCACGGCGTTGCAAAAGTATCTTGAATCAGATTATTAAGATCAAACCATCAAAACAATGTTTTTCTTCAACAGAAATTGAATCCTGAGCCCTATTATCAAGATTATATACTTGTACGCAATGTTGCTGACCGATTAGGAAAGTACACCGCACTTATCTTCTTGACCCATCTCAGCTGTTAGAAAGTCCGTAAACCGATTGTTCCTATTCCCCCGAGGGTTACAATTGGATTATACTTCATCACATTCAATGGTATATATATATTCGTGTTCTTGGTGAAAAAGTATGAGAATAATACCCCATTCACAGTGGCCTCAAACACCGCGACAGCAGCGGGACTGTCCCGCTGCTGTCGCGGTGTTGTCTTCAGTGTGAAGGCTCGGACCCGTTATAAACTATCGCGGGATAACACCGCCTCGCGATAACGCCGCGACAAACTATCGCTAGGTTCGCCTAGCTACAGCAGCGGGACAGTCCCGCTGCTGTCGCGGTGTTTACTCAGTGTGAAGGCTCTCCGCTATAACACCGCGACAAACACGTGTGATTTGTTTACTTACCTATCACTGACCTCTTTTCTCCAGCAATGGGGAACATAAAGTGAAATAGAAATAAAGTAACCAGTGGATTCAAATTGATTTTATTATTATGTAGATATTATAATTATCCAAATAAAAATATTTCACACTTCAAAAAATTAAAATATTCTGACTGGAAGCAATAAAAATGCTAGTTTTTTAAAAAGTAATATGATCGAGGATACAAAAAAGCAACTTGAAATGTTTACCTTTTGCAAGCTTGCCTCATCGAAAACCCCGCGCTGAAGTATTTCCGGTCATATCGGGGTCACTCGCGGGTCATGAGCCATGCATACACGGGAGGTAATAAAAATCACCCGCTGCAGCGTGAATGGGTACATGATATTTATCCCGCTGCTGCAGCGGGATAACTTTTCTACTGTGAATGCATTTGTAGCGGTGTTATGGCGGTGTCGCCGCTCCGCTACAACGCCGCTACAAATTTCAAAACCACTGTGAATGGGGTATAAGAGATAAAGATTTGAGTACAAGCGGAAGCTGGTGTGTATGCCCCTTACCCCCCTTCCCCCCCCCCCCCCCCCCCCCCCCGGGAAAATACTTCTTGCAATGGGTCTATTGTGCCCGGGGCTGCCAAAATATATTGCGCTCCCCCCCCCCCCCCCCTATATTGGATGTGCCACCATAACAGTGTGAATCCCGTGAGAAGATCTAACTGTTTCGAAATTCCTACTTAGGCATACCATTTTTTCTCAAATTGTTGTGAAAGCGCTCCTCAATCTTTATTACTTGCCCGTTCCTTCAAAGTATTAGATTGATTGTATTATTACCAACGCTCCTTCTCTCCCCTTTCCTTATTCTCTACAAGTCACTCTTTTTTTAATTTTTGTTTTTATTGTTGTATCTAAGTTGAGGGCTGCGGGCACGTCAAGCTACTTTGCTTATTTCTGTAGCCCTCCTGCATCTAATGTATGTTTTATAATTATGCATTCAGAATATTTGTTTAATTTCGTTTACTATCTATATAAAATTATATACACTTAAAATATTGTACCAAACCATATTATGTTCATGAAAATGTATGATGAAAAAAAGAAAAAAGATGCAGAAACCAATCAATCAAAATCAAATCAAATAAGAGCGTCAAAGTTGTGTGCAAGGTCATCAAGCTTTTTGAAAAATACAACTAATGTATTTATTTGAGCAAGGCCCTAAAACTTGCAAGCAGATGAATAGCTGCTCGATTATTTCTTCAGCGGCAATTATTCCAAAAATTAAGTACATCAAAGGTGGGTTCAGGATCACAAGAGGCTGGGGGGGGGGGGGCGTGTTGGAAATATTCATACCTTCAATCCAAAACCAATGGGAAGCTTAGCGTAGCCGAGAGAGGGGCTTGCAGGCATTTTTTTTCAGTGGCGGAGATGGTGATGGCGGCCGATTTGTTCCCTTCTTAGATCAACTCGTGTATTAATTACGCCTTGACATTTCAAGGTGAAGTGCTAAGCATAGCGAAATTTCAGGATTTCACCACCAACCTCTTCAATCGCCGTTAGTACATTAAAGAACTGTCACACTGCTGACCGACATGCATTTGTGAAGAGCGGATCCTAACGCGTGAGGCGAACAACTGACGCGGGTTCGTTAGCAGTCACGCGGTGCGATTCCTCGCTGGGCCATCGAGGGTTAGATGTTCGAATAAGATGTTTGATAATTAGCTAATTGATTCAATTTGGGGCTTGTTAACCGGACAGTGAGTTTTCTAGGAGTCAATGTCCAACTGTAGAGACCGGATAATGAAGTGGTACCTTCCGAGTGTATAAATCGGAAGTACAGTGCCAGGTTTTTAAAATTATTTGATAAGTCAGGGAGAGATTTAAAAAATATATTGTAAAGGCCGAGTAAAAAAAAACGCCGCGATTTTTAATAGATGTAAATGAAAGGCAACTGCCGCGACAAAAGTCCTGCGGGAATTTACTTAGCACTGTGTTAAAGATGTGAAGCGAAAAGAATAATAAGAAGAAAAAGCTCCGCCGCGGTTCCCTGAACAGGTCGTAAAGGTACTATGTCCCATTTGCAGGCCAACAAAAATGAAAACGTTTAATTCCAACGGCATTTGAAAGATAATACTAATTTAGTACGTTTTATGCTGCGCAAAGATTCAATCACTTTAATTTTGGCCATTACAAGAAGTGGGTCATTGATGTAGACAAATGCTTATGTACCCTTTACAGTTCATTTTATGTATGTTATTACCAAAGAAGAAAAAGCCAGTCAGTCACTCAATAGTGTCTGACAGTGAAGTCTAGCAAGTGAACTGCATAATTTGAAAATTAGGACACTGCTAACGTTTAAATTTCACAGATAAGACATACATGACATATTCATAATTCCTGCAAAGTTCTACAGAATTTGATGTTGGCTGCAAAAGGGACATAGTATCTTTAAGAACTCTATTAACAAGTCAGTCTGTGGATGAACATCCAGTTTAGGGAAATATCGTCTTGGGAGTGTCGTGGTCGAGTGGTTTAAGGCGCTTGACTTGGAGATGCGAAGGTCGAGGGTTCAAATCCCGACACGGCACTAATATCTTTGGCAAGATATTAGCCCGCACTTGCTACTCTCCACCCAGGTGTTCAATGGGTACCCGGTAGGATGCGACCGTCATTGTTGGTCAAACAGTTTTTGAGCGTCATGTAACGCCTGGCTGGAATGCTCCCCAGGGGAGTGAAGATTGTGCACACATTGTGTGCGGGCAAGCACCGAATCCAATGACTGGGGTAATAGTATTTTTGTAAAGCGCTTAGAGACATTTGTATTAAGCGCTATATACAAATTAAATATTGATATTATTATTATCGTCAAATAATAATGTTCTTTCTGATATTTATCAAAACTGTTTAAATAATGCCAGTTATACAAACGGGGCGTCATTTGATTGCATTTGATTATTTCCACGCTGATCAAGCATACAAGAGTAATTAGCCTAAACACTATCCAGAAATGAAAACTGTTCATTTTGCATTCACTGTCTTTATCTATGATGCCACTGTCACATGGTGCGTCAGAGACCATACCAATCCTTGACGCAATGCTACGTCAGACTATTATTGACGCCTCATGTGTAACATGCGAAACACTAAGTTTACTCGAGGTCGAATTGGCGTGTAGATGTGAAGTTCAACGTGCAATTATTTAACCTAAAATGAGTTACAGGGAACGAAAATTTGCTATCATTGATCATAATTGTATTAATCATCTTCATGGTTATAATAATTATTGTCTGTAATGACGCATATATCCGTGGCTCGAATTACATCTTACCTATCCCACTATTCCTTATATTTTATTTTTCAGGATGTTTACGTTGTTTTCACATTATCAGACAAATTGATGTCGAGAGAATTATTGTGTCCCTCTCTATCATGTTTGTGAGTTGGACGTGTAGCCAAGCTGTGCCTATAGTGTTGAATACGATTGGCATCGATCTGACATGCATAAATAGCTGGTTTTAGCTGGAGGGGTTGAGGCCCCCTTCTACCTTTCTCATATTTGATGTGAGCATATGTGCTTCGATTTGACCTGAATGCATTACAGCGGTGAAGTAGTACTTGAGATGTGGAGCAATTCATTAATTGAATTATAGTATGGTTTTATATGAGTATTGCATGATTATGTACAAAGAGACTTCACCCCTCATCAGTAACGTTTTCTCTTCTTCTCCAATCCCCCTGCTCTCTCTCTCTCTCTCTCTCTCCCTCTGTTTTTCTCTTCTACATCCACTTTCACCATTCCCTCTTTCACTTTATATCGCGCTCTCTCTTTCTCTCTCTACCTCTCCCCTCTCTTTCTCTCTCCCTCTCTCTCTTCCCCCTCTCTCACTCTCTCTCTCTCAATATCCGTTTCTATATCCACCCCTCTCCTTCTCTCTGTCTCTCTTCCACCCTTCCTGCACTTCAGGTGTTTGGCGATGCCTCGGTAGCACAGTCGGTGCTAAGCAATGGAGCTAATGGTGGTTTTCTCTCCATCAACTGGGGATGGGGTGTCGGTGTTATACTTGGTGTTTACTTCGCAGCAGGTGTATCAGGTAAGGTGTTTGTGTTGAGTCTCTGATAGAAGAAGTCCACTCATAAGTTGTTATAAATAAAAGCAAATAATATATAAGTATACAGGAAGAGATCAATGAATCCCATACAGATTAAGAAAAGGTTTATTTTGTTAAAGTTGTTATCAATCAAGCACATTTTTCTATATTTTCCACTCTTAACCCAGGTGCAATAAATAGGCACCTGATAGAAAGTGACTCCTTGAATGCTGTAAGACAGCTAGGCCAAGTGAGGGCAAACGTGGTACATGCACGCGCCTTTAACATTGGTATTCTACCGCGTATTCATTTAACACCCTGGTGGAGAGTGGCAAATGTAGATTGACCCTTGCCACAGGACATTAGTGGTGCGGTGAGACTCGAACGGCGAATAATAATATGCGATCCACAGTCTGGTGACGCTAGAGTCGCGGCTGGGATTCGAACCGCGAACCATGTCATTAGCAGTCCGGTGATGTATCCACTAAACCATGACACCTCTACTTGTATGGTTTTATTCAGTCGTTCCTGTTTTCATCCTCAGGAGCCCACCTCAACCCTGCGGTGACCTTGGCCTTCGCTTGCTTAGGACGGTTCCCGTGGAAGAAGGTCCCCTTCTACATCTTAGCCCAGATGGTCGGTGCCTTCATAGCTGCAGCCTGTGTATTTGGGGTGTATTCGGGTAAGTGTTTAAAACCACAAACGCGTTAATTATGTAAGCGGGACTACACTACTTTTTTAGCTACTTGCGCCCTCTGTATAGAAAGCAATGCCTAAGCGTTACCCGTTGGTCCCCCATGATCCCTTTTTCTTATGTTAATTCAGAGCTGTTTTGATGAGATAACCCTGCCAGTGACCAAGCAGGGAGGTCTAATCCCTCCTGGCCAAACTAGTGCAGATAGCCTTTAAGTACATACATGTGAAGTAATATTCCTGTGGTTCCAAATATACTTTTTGTTTGTGCTTGCATGGTTGGGGGTGGATGAATGAATGAATGAATGTATTAGTGCAGTAAACATCGCAATTGGAAGACAAAAACAGGAAAGCCACATCCTAATATACCTTTAAACATACTCTGACAAAACCTTTTTTCGGGAAAGGTGTAGTTATCTATTAATTTTTGATTGTATGTCAACATTGTCAGTCACGCTGAACAGAGGCTCGTTCAGTCACCGCAGAAACATGTGTTAAACAATGTCAAAGAGCTTGCCAAATTCGTGATCGAAATCGGAAATTTAAAGTCTTTGGGCCCAAACACAGCTGCAATGCTGGGATTATACAATATGAGAAGTCATTGTTTCTGAAATAACATCATCATATCCTCAATGAATTTTTGGCAGAATAAAAGAGGTCACTCATTGTGTTAAGCATTAATTGTTGTACTTTTTGTGACGTTTTCCCTGTCACATGAGAATCAAGAATGATGTTACCCTGAATAGGGTGAGTTTTTCCTTTGGTGTTTGTATTTCAGTTACACCATGAATAAAGCCTCTTTGAGCCGAGACCTAAAACCAGTAAGATTAATTGTCGTTTTTCCGTGACAATTTATGGCGACCTTGCCAGGACCAAAGTTTTAGGTCTCGTATGTTATATCCCATTTTGTTGGTTAAATATCCGTTACACTGTACGTGTAGGTTGTATTGGAAAAGAGAGACGGATGTTAGCAAAAGGAGTGATTTTGCGGTTCGGTGTGGTAGGTCTCTCGCCACGGTTTCAGCAGTGCGTGTATCGTCAATAGACGTACAGTATTTACGGTGGGTGATTTGCGTCGGGATACGGGATTGTGTGTAGATTGCTATTCAGATTTCAGGTATGCGTGTCGTGTGTATGAGTGTCCGTAGGCATTGTGTATTGCAGCGGTGTATACAGGTTTGTGTGCGAGGGCTGTACTGGGTTTCAATGACCGGGATTGGACATGGTATTGGATTTAGCTGTGTGTGAGCATGAGTTAATCCAGGTTGGATGCACAGGGATACTTTTTGTTATACTTTGACTTTGAGACGGGTCTTGATATTGCATGTCTATGTTAATTAAGACAAATGGTGGATAGTTTTTCACGGGTTCTTGTCTTGGGAATTAAGCTAGACCTCTACACAAGAGTCTTGATGGTTGTCAGTGTTTTCTTGAATAGATTCTACGGGGATTGTTCCGTACCTGTTGATACCCAGTTGTGATTTCGAATACAATTTCATAATGGCCAGTATAGATCAGATAAAAGAGTTCTCAACCCTAGGTCGAGAGATGATGAGCCTTGCGGGTAGTGAGCTTAGCAAGTTCGTTTCCGAGCGCTGCGCCGAAGTGTTAAGAGTAAAAGAATTGGAAAGCCAGCGTGATCGCGAAGAGCGCGAAAGCCAGAATGATCGCGAAGAGCGCGAAAAAGAAGTGAAGCTAGCCGAGCTTCGGATCGAGGAGAGAAAGAATGCCGGTGTAGATACGGGTGGTTTGAGGTTGAAAATTGGTAAATTTGATGACACATGTGATAAATTTGATGCATATATTACCAAATTCGAATTAGTCATGGCTAGTCAAAAGGTACCTGACAGTGTAAGAGCCTTACACCTTATTAGTAAATTGACAGGGCAGGCTTTGGAGGTAGTGAATAGAATGTCAAGGGAAAATCGCAATGATTACGAGGCAGTAAAGCGAGAGTTGATGGAGTTCTATCATTTGACCGCCGATGGTTATAGGAGAAAATTTCGTACGGCAAAGCCAGAAAAGCATGAACAGCCTAGGCAATTCAGTGTACGATTGAAGGGTTACTTGCAAAATTGGATTGAGTTATCAAATATTGAAGAGAATTATGACTCCCTATTTGATTTAATTCTAAGAGAACAGTTTGTGTATTGTTGCCCAAGGGAAGTTGAAGTGTTTGTTAGAGAGGGACAAGATAGTAGCATTGATAAGGTTGTTGAAAGGGCTATGGTTTATGTAGGGGCCCATGGATTACATACATTCGGTACACCCCGCAATCCAGGTGGATTCAAACCGACGGTTACAAGTACACAAGGTGGTGTTAGTCCCGCTCAGCCAAGTGTCCCCAAGGGTAACGTTAACACTAAGGGTTTTAACTCGCGTACACCAAGTAGTAGGGGTGGAGGAGCATATGATGCAAGCAAGCGTTCTGCTAGAGGTTGTTATATGTGTGGTAGCCAGGGGCATTTTAAGAACGTTGCGCAAACAGATACATTCAGCGCAAGGAATGATGACTTTGGATGGGACAGATTTCCCCACCCAAAGAGTAGAGGGTAATGACAGTTCTCAGTTAGTCGCGAATGGTGTTGAGGATACAGGATATAGTATTGGTTCATTGAAGTCTGTGGATAGTTCACCAAATGCTAATACAGTGCACCTCGGACTTGCTAGTATCTCTTTACTACCAGTAGAAGCAAATGGATTGAATTCATTAGAGCAGGCAAGACAAAGCATTGTGAATAAGTTAGACATGGCTTATGATCTGGTAGGGGCTATGACGAAGCATATGCCTGTAGTTTCAGGTAGGCTGGAAAAAGGGAACAAAGCGGTATCAGTTTTGAGAGATTGCGGGTGCACTACTTGTGTAGTTAAATCAGAACTAGTCGATGAAGATCAGCTGACAGGGTACAAGCAGTTAGTGTTGCTCATTGATGGTACAGTAAGGGAGTTCTCAGTTGCGAAGCTCACAGTTGATTCTCCATACTATGTGGGTGAGATAGAGGCTTTGTGTATGCCTCATTCACTATTTGATGTTGTTATTGGGGATATAACTGGTGCACGTGAACCCCGCGATCCAGATTTGAACTGGGTACCTAAAGGAGGTAAAGTAGTAAGTGACGTTGCAGATCAGGTGAATAGTGATGGTGAGAATACCATTGATGTTAAGGACACTATTGAAGTGCAGGTGGTTGATGAAGTTGAGCGAGTTGAGCAGGTTGCACATATCTCTGATGTGAAAGAGGATATTCCAGGGGTGATGGCAGTTGAAACTCGATCTCATAAGGAGGTCAAGGTCAAACCGCTCAAGGGTTTGACAATTGGAAGTCCCGTTTCCGGCATAGAGCCTGCAGGTTTTGTTCATGAACAGAACGAAGATTCGTCTTTGAGTTCATTGTGGAACAAAGTAGGCAGAGAGGAGGTTAACTTGCCAGTCGATGGCTGTTTTGATATGTGTAGAGAGAGTAGCGAAGTTTGTGAGGATTCAGCGGACGATGTTGAGGTTCAGATTAGTGATGTTGTTGGTGCTAAGGTGATAGTGATGCCATCCATACATGAGAAGGAATTCATAGAGCATGTCAGGGTGAATGAGTCCGTGGAAGAGAGACGTAGGAAAGGGATATCTCAGTCATTGCGTGAGTATCATGAGGTCTTTTCTGATGTACCATAGAAGACATCAGCCGCAAAGTGCCAATTGTTCAGGCATCTGACTGAGATGAGTACAGGTTTAGGATGTAAAGGGTCAGGATGGTGTTGCAGCAAATGGTATGGGGAGAGTGTAAAAGGCACTACACATGTTTTTATTTTTGGTCTGCGTACCATTGTAAATGATTGAATATGTGTATTATGTATCATGGGTTAACACAGTTTATTAATGTCATTTTTGTTGGATACACATTGCATTTAATAAGATTATGTAATATCTATGATGTTAGCACGAGATAGCAAGAGCTTTGTAGACATCTGTTTATTTTCTCGTAATTTTTCGAGCATAGTTCATATATAGGGAGCTTGGAAAGAAATGTAACATAAACGATTTAGTACCATAAAATCTTGTCTGTTTAAATGGCAGCATTTGTTTTATATTGATTTTGCAAGCTACAAATGTGTACCCATCAAACTGTATATGATAGTGCATACAAATTATCCTGAGCATATGTTTTGTGGAGATGCATGAAATGCATTACTCGATCAAGGTTGATATTAAGAAGAAATATTAAAACAGTATTACTTGCATTTTAGTTTATGCAAATGCAGGAATGTTACTCACTGCATTTTAAACCATGCCAATGTATATTTTGAACGATGTCTATGTATGATACTCGTTATGAATTTTAGTGTTGGAGCTATATCATTATGGACATTATTTTAGCTTTGGACTTCTGTTGGTGATCATCTTTAAAAGTCTTCAGGGATCACAAAGTTTGGACTCAGACGACAAACAATGACCGAGATGATGTCCCATTACGAAGAATACTCCTTGTTTATAGCATACGTGTTTACTAAAAAGTCACAATTTGGACTGATAATTTGGATCACATAAAGAGACTGGTGATACTTATTGTTTACAGCATATGTGGTTACTCACAACTTGGATTGATCATTTGGATCACAGAAAGAAACTGTTGATACTTATTGAAAAGCTGTAATGACAATTTAATGATTTATGTGCAGTAAACATTGACAAGTTTTATTTTCCCATTTTCACGAGATATGTATTTGCCAATAATTCTAGGTTTTGTGTAGAATATTTATTGTAAACATGCTATAGTAAGTACATTTGGAATGAGATGTTCAGTAAACATTGAAACAGTTTGCTTTAAAAATTTCCATGAGTTATGTAATTGCCAATAATTCTATGATTTGTGTAGAAAATTTACTTTAGTAAATTGTTCTTAAAATGGGGGGCTAATTGTCACATGAGAATCAAGAATGATGTTACCCTGAATAGGGTGAGTTTTTCCTTTGGTGTTTGTATTTCAGTTACACCATGAATAAAGCCTCTTTGAGCCGAGACCTAAAACCAGTAAGATTAATTGTCGTTTTTCCGTGACATTCCCTCCCTTCCCCTTCCACACCTGTTTACAAAGCACTAAATTTTGTAAACAAATTTGATCCAGCCAATGGCATTATTTTAAGTAAAACATTCATTTTGTTTCATTCATTTATTTATTTTAATTTCTAATAAAATACAAATAAAATTATGCAACATCTTTACAAAACATTTGAAATAGACCTCAATCCATGCAGCAATGAATAACTTTAAAGAACGAATAACATTCCGCTTTTATATAGCGCCAAATACATCAACGATTTCCCTAAGCGCTTTGCAGATATGTAATTACCCCGGTCATCGGATTCGGGCTTGCCCACACACAATGTATGCACATTCTCCACTCCCTGGGGAGCATTTCAACCAGGCATCATTGTACAGACGCTCCAATACTGAGCAAACTACATTAACTTTCGCATCCTACCAACCTGGGTGGAGAGTGGCATATGTAGATTAACCTCTTACCAAAAGACGTTAGTGTTGGGGTGGAATTTGAACCCCGTACCTTGTGATCTGCAGTCGAGTGACTTATCCACTAGACCACAACACCTCTACAAAACAAAAGTAGAATACAATTGCAATTGAAATTTGATTCATATGCTGTGGAAATGGAAAGGTCCAATAAAAAAGCAGAACTTGTAAATTGTGCCGGACCCCTCAGATAATAATAACTTTTTAAAAATGTGAAATACATCAACATGGAGAGGTCCACTAAAAAGCACAGTTTGTAAGCTGTGGATCGCTCTGATAATAAAAACTAAGAAAATTGAAATACATAAACAAACAAAAGGAGAAGGATAATGGCTAACATAATATTATACAACAAGACAAAGAGGATGAAAATAGTTATTGTGGATGCATTCACGCACAAACGGATAGGTTCATTTGAAAAACATAGATATACAAAATTAAAGATGAATGACTTATAGCTTGTTCTCTTTTGTTATCCCTTCTGCTCTTCTTCTCTTTCTCCCGCATTTTTGTGTTCTATCTTTCTTCTATCTATGTATCTCTCTCTCTCTCTCTTCTTCTTCTTCTTCTTCTTCTTCTTCTTCTTCTTCTTTTTTTCTTCTTCTCCTTCCTCTACTTCTTCTTCTTCTTCTTCTTCTTCTTCTTCTTCTTCTTCTTCTTCTTCTTTCTTCTTCTTCTTCTTCTTTTTTCTTCTTCTCTTTCCTCTACTTCTTCTTCTTCTTCTTCTTCTTCTTCTTCTTCTTCTTCTTCTTCTTCATTATGGATTCTTCCATAGCATAAAATATTATCCTTTCCACATTTATTTCCCACAACTTGAATTATCATTGTATTCTTTTATTCTTAACCTCCTCGCTTCTTCTCCATCTCGCTTTCTTTCATACTGTATGAATCAACGATCCTCTTTCCAAGAATCATTGAATGCTAAGGTCCTAGAGGATGGGCCCCATGTCATACATAGGGATGAGGAAATGCCCCCTTCCGATCATTTGGACCCCCTTCCTGTTTCCCCAGCTCCTAGCCAAGCTTCTTGTTTTGATGCCTACCATGAGATGCACCCTTTGAGTGATATATTTAGAAGGATTTGTAGAAGTTCAAACAGTTCAAACGCGTAGCTTGCATCTTTGCAAACAATCAGAAAAATCCACCAAGAACTGATAACAAGAACGAAAGCAACAAAGAAAATCTCGTAAATGCACGTAATATTATTTACACACTTTCTAAGACTAGAGAAAAATATATAATAATTGTATTAGTAGGCCTATGATTCCTTTATTAGGCCTAACCATGGTATGAGAAAGAGAACGGCAACTTGCTCACAATTCACATATTTGGGAATGTATGATAAACCTTAGTTGTGAACGGCAAGGGTGAGATTCGGAGTTTGTTGTCTTTTAACACATCAATAGACCAAAGCCCCATTTCACAAAACGTTTTATCAGTGACAAATGACAGTTTTTGTTATAAGCTAGTGAAATCCTTGCTTCTGATTAGTTATCGGCAGATTTGTCACTGGTTTTTGTTATTTGTCATTGAAAAAAGGCTTTGGGAAACGGGTCCCTAGTGGATTGATATGCAACGAGACATCGTCAGAATTTTACTTAAATCATAATCATTTGTGGAATTGCTTCTTGAATGTCAGTGTAAGTTCAATGAAATAAATCAGATTTCAAACTTAAGCCCAGATCAAATAAAGGATATTTACACGAAAGCTATTTCGTTTTTTTTTTTTTTTTTTTTATCAATTCCGAATTTACGACGCGTGTTTACTTTGCCTCTGGGTTATTCGCATCGGAGGGGCGTGTATAAATCACATCCATGTCTTGCTCATAAAACCTGTTAGAGCTCTACCAGTAGATGGCGCACTTGCACTGTTGGCATAGAGAGAGATTGGAACATACACATTTAATATGCCCGCCTCAGTCATACAAGTTTGTAATACTCAATTGGGGAGTCGGTTACCAAAGTGATTCGCATTATCAATAGTAATTCAACTAATAGTCTGAGGCGAATCCAGGATTATCAAAGGTGGTGTGTGTCTTATTTTTTTATTTTTTTGGGGGGGGGGGGTGGGGGAGGGGGATGACCGCCGCTATTTCTGAACCCTTTTGTTAATTATAAAAATGATTATTACTGAAGAGTAACAACGCACCGTCTTTCTTTTGAACTTGGGTGTCCCACAAGGTGTTGTTTTCTTGGGTAGGTCCTTGGATCGGTTCGAATCCCAGCCACAACACTGTTAACACGATCGCATCTATTTTCGATACCCGTAATTTCAATACCTTTTTTTTTTTTTTTTTTTTACATCCCATAGAAATTTTGTTCAGATTGCGTCATACCCTTTGTCATGTTGGCACAATTCAATAGATGACGTGAAGGTTATTGGTTGTTTCTTCTATCTAGGTAGATTATTCTAAAGTAGATGCAATCATGTTTAACGTTCTTTTGCAAGACATTAATCTTCATTTAGGATCTGTAGGATCCTTCCTTAAAATGTACCATAAGCTGGTAATGGTTGACGGAGCTAAGGCTAGGTAGGCTTCTAATTCCAAAATTAAATGAAAGCGAAAACAGAGATATGTCTTTATGCGCTTTACAAGAACGTCATGCGCCATTCAAAAACAGAATTATTGTTCTTCCACTAGTTTAGTCTTTCAAAATCAAATTTTATCCGATGCCTTTTCTTATTTCATGGATTTCAGATGCTATTAATGATTTTGACGGTGGAGTTCGAGCTGTACTCGGGGAGAATGGGACAGCCGGCATCTTTGCTACCTATCCGAAGGACTTTCTCTCAATCTGGAGTGGACTTGGAGATCAGGTAAAACCTTCACCTTTAGCATGTAAACCGTCATATCTTAACATTTTGTTTGGTGTTTTTGGTAGGGGGTTGGTGGTTATTTACTTGACTGTTATTAAAGAAAGCATAAAAGCTTGTTAGAAAGCAACCAGGGGACCGACGACTTTAGGTTCTCTTCGAGGTTTACCTCTTCACGTTTCAACGATCCTTTGTTGGTCTAAATATGGCCCGCCTTTATTCGTCTTAACTCGATCCCATTTATCTCCCATATTTGTCGTTTAGATATTAGGCACTGCTCTGTTGATGTCCTGTATATTGGCCATCACTGACAAGAGAAACAACTCTCCTCCTAACGGCATGGAACCCCTTCTTATCGGTCTCGTTGTATTCAACATCGGTATTTGCTTCGGATACAACTGCGGCTATGCCATCAACCCTGCCAGGGATCTGGGGCCGAGGTTGTTCACCGCCTGCGCGGGTTACGGCCAAGATGTTTGGACGTGAGTATAATGCCATTGCGCACGAAGCGTTATTTCCATTACGCCTCTCACAGACATTAAGTGCATCCAATCCTTGTAACAAGTTAATTGCTATGAAAACAGACAAATAAGAGGGATGTGATAGCGAAAAATTTAAATAAATGTGACCAATAATAATAATAATTATACAATTTTTGTTTTTGTCCTAATTCCCTTCTCCTTTGCGGCACCACTCAAAATATATTATGTTTAGCATAGTATTTTAGGTCCTCTAAAAGCTAAAACCTCCTGAGTCGTGCTCTTTGAAAAATTGACAATATAGTAATTTTATAGTAATTGAAAGTTGTCTGAGCCCATAATGTATAGATTAGGCCTTAAGTTCGTAAAAGATAAATATGGACATGCATCACATTGTGTAAAGCTGTTATATGCTCACCGATGTTAAGAATGTTTATAATTCTTGCTTCATCTGTTAAAATGCATTATGCTAAATTTGGATTTACCTTTTCTTGCCTTAGTCCCAATGGTATGCATTGGTGGTGGGTGCCTATAGTGGGACCGATATTGGGCGCCATCTTGGGCGGATATCTTTACTTGTTCGCTATCGAACTCCACCATGACACGGACACGGCATCGGCGAGAGACGAAGACGGAGGAGGAGATTACAGTAGGTTTCCAAAAGACATTGATTGGGACGTATGTAGAAAATATCAAGTAGAACATGTAGGAAGTATGAACGAGAAGGATGAAAGGCAGATATAGAAGGAAAGAGGCGATGAAAAGCAAGGAGTGAGATAGACAGACATAATGAGAGAGAAAGAGAAAGAGAGAGAGAACAAGAGAGAGAGAGAGAGAGAGAGAGAGAGAGAGAGAGAGTCAGTGTCGAGATAGAGATATACATTTTTTATTAAACGGGTTAGGTGCTCATTAAATGTGATGACAATAATTTGTATGTCTAGTTAATTTTAAGAGCTATTTCTACCCATTATTTCCAGAAATGTTTGCTAAAGTCGTTGTTTTTGTCTTGTTTCTTTGTCAGTGATGGCTGAATTGTCAGGAAAAGGTGAAGATAACCAAGCGGTTCAGAATCATGGACAGGCATGAGGGGTGGTTTGGATGAACAGCGCCCTCTTTCAAAGGAGTTTCGTTCATTTTGATGAGATATCAAACAGACCAATCAGCCCAATTGAGTACCAAGTGTGCACGTCATATTCGCTCTTCATCCAGGTTACTGGTTCTAAACAACAGAGCCTGCACCTGAGGTTCACCGCGAAATAATTCAAGCAACGGTCTGGAGCAGGACAAATTCGGTGTTTGAGGCTGCTGTGATCACGACACCATTGTTTAGCTCAAAATTGTTTGGAACCAGCAACTTTGACAACTTGGCCAGTATGACGTCACACTTCGGTACTCTATAAGAACAATGCCGTTGTAACCATGATGACAGCTTTGGAGTGCGAAAATGGCTACAGACGTCCTGAACAGCTTCAAGCAGATATCTTTTTATTTCTTTTTTTTGTTGTATATTATTGTTTATCTTCATTCAGATTACTATAGGAAAGTAATATATTTATCACCGTTATCCATGAGGTTGCGGTTTTCTTTTACTTGTCATACTAAGGCCTTTCTATTTCAAGGTATTTGTCTGTAATTTTTGTGTGGGTGACTGACTTCATTATCCAGATAATTTTCATGTAATGGTTTCAAAGCAAAACAGTGAACAATTCAGCTGGTACTGGCCAAACCAACTATCATTAAAATTAGTTGGATTCTATTGTTCCAATGCTGTGTAAACGTAATATTTGATAGCCATACAATATATGAATTCCTGCCTTTATAACTAGTTCAGAGTTTCGAATAGATCGAAGTCACCAAGATTCCACAATTTAGCACCCTAATATATTTACATTTCATCCTATATTTCACATGTTTCATGTGGTTTTTTAGAAATTATGAAAGCTAGGCAATTTTCTTTTTGTACGAGTATATCAACAATATGTGGTTTAGATAATCATTTTGGGGTTTCTTTTTTTTAATTTCAAGTTAATACATCCATTCTTGATTCCTTTGTGTGTGTATACTTCGAGCAGAGACGTAGCGAGAGTCCCGACTTAACGGGGGCACTTGAAGAGGATCATGTCATCTTCTCACCTCGCTCTCTCTTTCTCTCTCTCTCTCTCTCTCTCTCCCTTTCTCTCTCTCTCCCTTTCTCTCGCTCTCTTTCTCTCTCTCTCTCCCCTCCCCCCTCTCTCTCTCTCTCTCTCTTTATATATAATTATGTATATCTCTTTTCGTCTGTCTCTTTCTCAGTCTTCTCTCTGTATGTATGTTTGTCTGTTCGGTCTCTCTGTCTCTATCTCCGTATGTCTCCATCTCTCTCTCTCTCTCCCTGTCTCTCTGTCTCTCTAACTCTTTTTTCTTTAAGTCTGATTAGGGTAGGTGCCCCTAGATGAATAACCACTTTACTTACTGTATGAATGAAGAATGTACATTTCGATTGTGCTTACAGAATTCTCAGGACATTGATAAATAAGTTATACGAGTGTTATGATTTTAAAATTCCCTTAAATATATGCGGGAAAACACGATACGGTGTTGTTGAAGTATGGATCATGAATTTTGTTAATCTTCTTATTTTATATCATCATTTTTCACCCTTAAGCTAGCTGATCCGGGCCAACCCGGCCCTACTCCATTTTGCTGCTAAAGATTTCATACTAAATTTATTGCATTAACGAATCCAAAATCGGATGTGGGGTAGGGAAATGTGTTACGTGAAGAAATATTGTAAATTTTTTTTGACGGCGCGTGCTGACAAATCTTGACTTTTAGTCGACAGAATATTATATGTGCTGACAACATATCAGCATACCCATACGGAGGGAGCAACTTCAACCACGAAACCTGATATAATAATAATACTAATGATGCGTGTAATTAGAGAAAATGTGGTTTTAACATTTTGCGTGTAGATGGTCACTGAAATTTGATTTGTAACATAAATGAATATAGTTTTTAAAGAAGAGTTTACAAAAAATACATTTATTTAACCCTGTAATTTGAGTTGTTCTATGATAATCATGATGGTGCTTCACCTGGTCGTATTTTGTTGATTTCTTTTATAAATTTTGTATACAGTATCAATTTGTTGTTGTGACTAAATGGAGAGCGATTGCTTTAGTAAGGGAAAATCAAATTTATTTTCATGCCGTGTTTGTGTTATAATTATGGTGTAATTATCAGATTGCACTTTGTATTCACAATAGGGATTCTTGAAAAGTATAATAGAAGGTTGACGTAAGAACTAAAAGAAATTTTTTTTTTGTAAAGAGATAGGATAATATAGTTAAGGGAAGTACTTAAAGGCTTCTAGTGACTGAAGTGTGAATTATGATTAACACTTCAACCATAATATTGCTGCATTCATTCTTCCTTATCATGTTTATTCAATTATCACTCTTTTTCAAACCGTCTGATTGTTTACTCTGCTGTAAAGTCATACTGTACCAGAAGCACTACTACAAAATGCTCTCTCGTGCCATCTCAGGTCAGCTGTAGCAGTACTTGCTGCTTTCCTAGTTGTGCTGTTGGTTTTTGCATCGAGTCCTCTGTCTGCGAAATACGACAATACTCTGCCGTAAGAGGGATGTACTCCAATTAAAGAAGAAGAAGAAGATATTAGGTAATGTCTTACGCATCTTGGCAAGTTGATCATGAAATAGCGCTGTGCCATAACCAGAAATAAATCAGAAAACTAACAGTTCGGTATCGCTTTAAAATGTCTGTTCCAGTGTATTTGCATGAACATGTAGTTGTGTAGTTCAAGAAGTAGAATCGCTTGAAGCGTTAGTCTTCCCTTTCATGTTTGAAATGATTGTTCGTTTCAAATCTGCCAATCTGATCCCATCTTGCACACACACACACAAACACACACACAGACACATACACACATACATATATCACAATGGTAAGGGATGGAATATATGGATCCAAATGAATTTGAGTGACTTCATATTCAATAATGCCTATAAAGCTGACATTTAAGCGTATCATGATAAGAAGAAGAAGGGGAGAAGAAGAAGAACATCTCTTCTAAAGACCTTAAAAATGATCAATGATTAGTCTAGTACGGTAGGCTACCTCACTTGCTTCGGCGAAAGAATAGGATGTTTCCAATACCCTATTCCGAGCTGAACATATTGAAACCGGTCTGAACACAGTTGAAACAATGTGTGGTTTGATGATGTAATGTGCAAAGTATAATTCTCGGTGTGGGAACATGATGCCAGTACCACAGTGTGAACACAGTATGTTACATGGCGAATTTCTTCCAGTTCATCGGTCGGGCAAGCTATGGTGGAACTCCACAGTGTGGTTCTTCATGTGGTGCATGGAACTCAACAGTGTGTGGTATTTCATGTGGTGGTACTCAACAGCGTGGTTCTTCAAGTGGTGGTACTCCACAGCGTGGTTCTTCAAGTGGTGGTACTCCACAGTGTGGTATTTCATGTGGTGGTACTCCACAGTGTGGTATTTCATGTGGTGGTACTCCACAGTGTGGTTCTTCATGTGGTGGTACTCCACAGTGTGGTATTTCATGTGGTGGTACTCAACAGCGTGGTTCTTCAAGTGGTGGTACTCCACAGTGTGGTATTTCATGTGGTGGTACTCCACAGTGTGGTATTTCATGTTGTGGTACTCCACAGTGTGGTATTTCATGTAATAACAAGGTGTCCCATAGGTTGTGATTCTCCCTGTACTTACAGTGTGCCTACAGTGTGACAAATTGTGAATAAAAATTAGTGTATCATGCTGTGAAAACTGATTCACTGTAGTGATAGTCCACGTTGTAATTGTCTCTGTCAGTACAGTATCTACCGTGGTGTGGAGTTTGTGGACACACTGTGAACGCGTCATGTTATACGATTAAATAATGTAAAGTAATAAAACAGTGTGGACAAAGTGTTAATAATTTAAAAGTCTGTTATACGATTAAAGTTTTCACAGTTTTCTCTTGATTATGATGGTTGTAACCACACTGAAACTCTCGTTGTCAGTACAGTGTTTATCATTACATGCATGGTTTCGATACAGGTTGAACGCATTATGAAAGTTTCCAAGATCCCTAATGGTCACACCAGTGTAATTACTCCACAGTGCAAAATATGTTTGTGCCACAGTGGATAAAATAGTCTGCTATACGATGAGTGTTTTCAGTTTTCACTTGCACACAACATTGTTGAACATGCAGGTACCCCTGCTGTGATTATCTTTGACAGTCAGTTTCTAATTAGATCCCCCAATGGTAACACCAGTGTTACTCCACAGTGCAATTCTACCGTGTAGCAAGTGTTTGTATCACAGTGGATCAAATAGTGTTAATGAAGTGTTAATACAGTCTGCTATACGATGAAAGATTTTACATCTTTCTCGTGCACACAACATCACTGAACATGTGGGTATCCATACTGTGATTCTTTATTTTAGTACAGTGTCTGCCACAGTGTGGACACAGTTTTCAGACAAGCAAATTTAACTCAATTTAGACACTTTGGGAATGTTCAAATCCATTATGTGGCATGATCACAGCATGCACAGTGTAGATGTAAATAGCCAATGCTTTTGTTCATAATTTCAAGTCTATGATATACACTGTGTTTTTCAGTACGTTTGAAGGGCGAGTCGATATAAGACGTACTTATACCTATGAAAACATTGTCTGAAAATTGTTTATTCTTTTCAAAATCAGTTTTATAAAAATCAATATTCATCAGAGTTTGTTATTCTAGATGTTTTTATGAGAAAGATAAACTGTAAATAATATTGAAGATTTTTGCACAGGGATCTTATATGTATAAACTGTATCACATTCACCGATTAGCAACTTTTCCTTCGCATGTTTTTTGATAGTTTACCTGAAAATGTTCGTTAATTAGATGATTCCTGTTGTGGTGTTTCGTCTTTATTAAATGACCTCTGTATTCAGTGTACTATATAGACCAATAAATATCCATATGAACGTAGTTACCTTAGACCACATTCATCTTAGTTGTCTTTTGATTATTGTGCATTTTTAGCAATGTTTCATTTTCGCTCCACGTCTTAAAGTCTCTGACTAAATTTAGCGTTAGTTATTACGTTTATCTCTTCATTTAAAGCCCCATTGTACTACTTGTAGCTACTTGCTCCCTCTATATAGAAAACAATGCCTAATCTGTCCCCATGATACTCTTTTTTTTAATGTTAAATGAAAGCTGAGTTGATGAGATAGCCACCTGTCAGTGACCACCCTGTGAGGTCTAATCCCTCCTAGCCAAACTAGTACAGACGGCCTTTAAGACGTATTGTGATTATCAATCATCATTTTAATTAACACAGAAATGTATTAAAAAGAACAATTACTTTCTCACACGTACACATTAAAATTCAGACGAGTCACAATCGGGAATCCAGAGGTATAGGCACGGGGGCGCTCCTAAATTACAATCTGATACACCTTATCAACACATTAAGTACAACAAGTATGACGCTTCATAATTTGGCCAGCAATTTTAGACTTAACAAAAATACCTTAAACATATAACCTTTTATTTCGTTTAGATTTTGTTGCAACAGAATGCTGTCACCCGGACCCGGTATATAATAAACAGGCGACTCTAATTAGATTTCATTAATTCTGTGAAAATCAATCAATAATTTAACAAGTCCAGACCACAAAGCAGCGTTTCACAACACCGTCCTAAGTACAAATTTACCGACATCCCAAGGGGATACATGTTGTATGGGATGCCGGTGAAATTGTACATATGACAGGCTCGTGAAACGATGGCCTAGCGATCTGTAGATATTTGTTCCATGCCAAGTCAAAGTAGTAGCTCCATAGATTTAATTCGTTCCAAACTTTCGAAGCTATCAAGTTAACTTAACTCAGGTTCTTTTTTAGATAGTCCCTCCCACTCCGCCATGCAGGCAACTGGCATTTCTTTACCTTTGTCACGATGCATCAAACTTGGATAAACATCTCTTGTCTCGAGGATTTAAAAGAAGTAACCTTTATCTACATCTTCTTCCTTTCTCTCTCTCTCTTTCTCTCTCTCTCTCTCTCTCTCTCTATCTTTCGCTCTGTATCTCTTTCCCTGCCTCTTTGTACTCTCTATCCAGACAAACAAACAATTACAAAAGCACCCCCATAAAAAAAAAAATAAGTTAAAATAGAAACTAGATTTGAATTCGTCACTGCTGACAAATAAGGTGACCTGCAGCAGATCGATCGGAGCTGAATGGCGAATAAATGATAGCCAGACGGCATTTCACGTACGGTCGAAAATTGTTCACTGCATGATAAAAGGCCTTTCATGAGTCTTTGCTCACACATGTACCTAAACAGATTTAGCCATAGAAGACGTCCCTCATTAGAAATGATGGAATAACTTTGAAAAGAACAACAAATGGATCTGCACGATCTGCTGCAGATCAAGTACTAAAAAGCTGGAACTGTTCCTGCGAGCCTTCCTATATTTAGGCCACTGAAGTGAAGCAAACATCAAAGAAATATATAGGAAGAGAAAAGAGACATCCCGCTGGCTTTAGGAAGAACGCCAAAATGTGAGTATAGGTCATTTTCAACTTTTGTGTGGTGCTGCCATGACATCTTGCAATGTGTTTGTTTTACTGTGATTCAGTTGAACTTAACAGCGTGTCTTTACATCATTCGGTATGATAGCAAAGTTGCGTTCTCTGTAGGTCAGGCTTACTCGTAATCAATGTGATGTGTTTTTATACAAGGAGTGACTGACAATTTTTATTTAATTTTGACGTACGGGGCATTTCCTGGGCCTTCAGAGGGCAAGGCAAAATATTCAAGCTTAATAGTGAATCTGAGAGAGAGAGAGAGAGAGAGAGAGAGAGAAGGTGGGGGAGCACGCAGCCAGCAAGCAACGTTTTTACATTTTTACACTTTTTACATACTCTATTATTAAATAAGAATTGACGTCTCCAAAATTGATAAAGCATCGGAATCTTTTTACGGGCAAGAAGTTGCAATTTACATGGAAAGCCTCACTTTTATATTGTACAGATCTATTGCAACTTTGCATTGATTCTCACTTCAGCATGCTTTACAACGGACGAGGGGCGTTCGCCTCTCACCCTGTGTTGGATAGGTTAAAGAGTTATTCATGTATTGATATAGATAAACCAAAAAACATTATGGATTTATATAATTATTACAAAATAACACGATTGCAACTAATATTGCATAATTAACCTAAGACAATTTCAATAGGTTTGCCCGTCACCGTATGAAACACACTAAGAAATAAAGGTACAATTCTGCTACAATAGCAGCACCCTCTGCCATGCAAATACGCGTATGTGGATGCAAAATAATCTGCACCCCAGTTGCACCCTTATTTCTTAGTGTGAACGTGTGAATATGACAATGACGTACTACTTAATCTAAACATGGCTTTGTTACTGGACATACAAAGGGGTATTGAATTTGCCCTTCACACATCACATTTATTTGATTCTGATAGCAAAGTAGGTAGGTACTCTATAGTCTTTCACCCCTGTGTGGATAATGATGTCCTGGAATAGGTTTAAAATAGAGATCTGCATAGTCAGAACTTTCTTTATGATTATTTTTAGATCAAATGGCCAAATGGGTACCTTTAGATATTACCTCAAGATCATACAAATATGGTCTTGGACAATGACTAAAAATTATATCAATTGTATATTTGGATAAGTAATGATATATTTATTGCTTTTTTCAAAATGTAAGCTGATCAAGGGGGTATAAGACCACCAAACAATCACGCGATTAAGAACTATATTTTCTCAGGCAAAAACATATCCGTAAAGCTCATAGATAGGCATACATATCACATGCCATAAACCTATAGTGAAATTAATATATTGCAGATGTAAAAGTGAGGCGAATATGAGAACTGAATGATATCTCTAGAATAGCCATTTTGTATAGGCACATCAGCAAATCACACACCTCTCAGTCTGCCAGACTTATTTCAGGGATTCGATCAAATCACATGTTACAAAATTTCTCACCCGTTGCAAATGGGAGTATTGATTAGATACGGGTGATTGGTGTAGGCCTGTAGGCCGTTACTTTGATTTAAAATGAAATCATATAATACTTTATTGATTTTCCTCCTATAATAAAAGCAGCTGTTCTTTCCGACCCCAAATTTACATGACTGTACAGTTGTCAAATTAATTATTCAATTGCTAAGTTTGTAATTTTTGAAGTGTGTTAAACATCGATAATTATGTCCCAGTCTGTATATCTTGAGAATGTGATAATGCTTTACATCCAAAAGTATTCTAAAGGCCCTAATTCAACCGGTCCACCTTTCATTTTTGAATCACGAAAAAAAAAAACACCCCAAAACACCCAATATAAGGGTATGGAAATTTAGATGTTAATATAAAAATGTACCATCATGCATATAATTCATACCTGATTTATTAATCTGTTTCCTATAATATTCGCAATCAAGCAGTGTTAAAACTATCATACCGGTAATATTTTTAAAGTTTATTTTTTTGTAACGAAAGTTAATATGTTCAAATATCTTAAAGTGCCAGTATTGCCTTTTAATAACCATCACAGCTTATATTGTAAAACATGCCTAAGGTCTTGTGACGTGGAATAGTACTGAGACAATGTGTTGTCCTCTTTCATGGAGTAAGGCTATTGTGAAATATAATAATGATCGCAGTACATAAGTACATGTAGGTGACAGAGTCTTGAGGTTAGGACCCCAATGTGGCAGTCCAATCTCATATCGTGTTTGTGCTTGCCACGGATGTGATAGTGAGGTCTGCAGAGATAGTAGGGCCTGGAGTTACTATCCCCAATGCTGAGGAGTTGCCATCGAGTCGTACCTAATAAATGGATGATCTTACCATTTTCAGTCCAAGTACAAAGGATGTGGGTAACAATTTTGCGAGGCTTGAGGAGTTGATGGAATGGGGAAGATGGAAATTCTAGGCAAAGAGGTCTAGTAGCTTTGTGCTTTGGCAAGGGGAACTCAGTGACTTTCATTCTCTTTTGTGTGGGGATGAAGGATGAAGCCCTATTCATTCAAAACAGCCCGTTTAAAGCTTAAAGGGCCACTCTAACCAAAACGGGCTAAAAATGAAAAAAGGACATGTAGGAAAACAAATTGACGGAGATTCCGAACATGACAATGATTTTTCTTAGAAATCATCAATAATTCTGGAATCTAGCTTTACAAATGGCGACTCAGAACGCACAGAAAAATTTAATCAGGCATCAAAAATGTTTTTAAAAAGGCAAACTATGATATTAATTGGAAAAAAAAAAACATTTATCCGAAAAAATAATATGCACTTGATAATCCCATTTCGTCATTCCTAATTACGAAATTATCAAATCGGACATGCCCGCAATTACGTCAAATGCGTCATCAGGCCACGTGACCATATTACCTTTTTCGAGGGGCGTAGCCGAGCAAGCGTGAGAACTGTGAAAAATGGATGGTTATTATCATTTTTTTAGGTCAATTTAGAGATTTTCTGAAAAATCAGAGGCTGGAATATTAATAAATAGAGGTGTATACATGTTTTGAAAGGCTATGTTAGTTGGGTTAAAGTGGCCCTTTAAGGTCAATAAGATAACTAACAGGTGCTTAATATTTTCATAGTCGTCATTTGTGTTTGGTCACCATTTCTATATTTTCTGTCAGTAACTAAAATTACCACCCCAAAATACCATTCCTTCACACATTAACTTTGTTTGTTTGCCCCTTTCCCAATACAGGAGATCTCGCAAGCGATTTAGTTGTATGGGTGCGTTGAGGCGATGCGGCATCAAACCTCTACTCTTTTTCTTCGTACTATTCACATTTGTTATAGTCCTTTTACACACGAAGTTGGCTGACAATTCGATAGGCGACCCCCTGGAATTACCAGTGATGAATGACCGGAGGGTGTATCCCATAACGTATTCGAAAGACTTGAAGAATGGACAAGACATACAGCAAGACATGCAGCAAGATTTTAACCAAGAACGAGATGCGGACGAAGAGGCAAGTCTTCATTCACAGTACATTTTACCTGTTCTTCTAGGTAACAACGGCCCAAATAATCAAATCCAATCCCTCAAACTGGTATCCATCATTGCTCAAAGGCGAAACCTGACACTCGTCCTTGCTCCGTTTTTCGATCATGGAGCGACATTAGAAACACAGCGCCCTCACACCTTTGAAGAAACCCTTGATCCTGACATGCTTGCCCAGTTCGTATCCGTAGTAACCATGGAAGAATTCAAACGCCAATGCAAGGGAACAGTGGACGCGGTATTCCTTGGTACTAATATGGTGATCAATCAGACTCTTTCTAAAACTAAGAAACAAAACATTGGTGTCGGTCATTCCGTCAAGGCATATTACACCTGGACGGGGGTTACGATACCTTCAACTTTCTTGTATATGAACCGATCTGATGACGTCATTCAGATTCATGCCGACCTGCCGTACGATATACCTGTTGAGGACTTTCTCGATAAATATCCAGACTCGTTGACTACATCGCATCGGTGTAATGCATTTCTTTACCCGTATGGGTACCTGGGTCGACTAGTGTACTGGGAACACATCAATCGTTACACCAAGTACTTCGTCAGGGGAAAAGCAGTCAGAGAAACGGCGCAAACCTTTATCAAAACTGCCATGAGGAACTTGACATATGTTTGCATACATTGGAGATACAACAGAGAGTGGAAGAAGTATTGGTAAATATTCCTCACAAATTCTTTCCAAAATGTATATGAAAGACCGAGAAAAATCCTGTCAATAAAAACTGACAATACAATTTCTGATCATGCTAGCATACCTTGCTACTGGCGATTGCATTTTGGGGTAATCTTAAAGTTTTGCTAACTTCTTGGTCACAATTCATAGTTTTTAATGATAATAATAATACCGATTTCATATAATAACGCTTTACTATTAACTGACCAATGCGCTTATATTATTACATTTACCTGGTCACTGGATTCTCCACTTCTTTTAAATGAGTGCATTCCAACAAGTCACATTTTAACAGGCGCTTACTTCAAGGTAAAACGAAAATTTCACAATATTCTCATACGGTCCAAGTATTGTTTCAACGAATTAAACAGGAATAATACTTATAGTCTTATAATCGGTAATATAATTTTTCGATATGCCGCCTAATTTGAGGGTGGATTTGCCTAATATTTTTTGGCTACACCAATTTGTATGAACGTATTCATTTTCATGAATAGATAACGTAATACATAATTTGTTGTTGACAGGTGCAGTAAACATCGAGCTGATAATGACCTGGATCTCTGCAACTCGTTACTTACATTAGCACCGTACCAATTGGCAACAAAAATTTCTCACTTCATGGCGGAGTCCGACATAAAAGCTGCTTACTTTGCATCTGAACTCGATAACCAGGTTAGTTAATATTAAAGCCAGTCGAAAAACCGAGTACAGGCAAATACTCGGAAAAAACATAAAACGCTTCGTGACTACAGTGCCTTCATTGTTCAGTGCGTGGCAGTGGGCATACAGGACATTAGTAAAGTCTTCCAAGGTTAATCTGCCGTTGATAATATATAAATGATATATACATATATATATATATATATATATATTGTTTTTTAAATGTTGCTGTGGATATAAATATTTCATACGTGTGATTTGGAAGGCATCTTTATATAACTAGTCCTTGTCCATGATAACATAATTATATCATAGTTATAATGTTGTTTATTAATCATATTATTACATTTTATTTTAATTTAGTGTCAGATTAAATTATTCAAAAACATATTCATATGGACACTTGGCATTCCATACTTAGTCGGTGGATTAAACCATGGACTAAAGTTAGTCCGCTTTCGAGAATACCAACCCATGATTTTACAAGGTTTTTGCGAAGTTATGTCTGACTGTAAGCTTGTTGCATTGAGTGACGTAAAGTGAATTCTGCTCCGGCGACAATTGTTCAGAAAATCATTTATCTCTGTCAAAGATAGCAGGATTACAACTGTGATTACAATATATTGGTGTAGATAACTGACATGATTAAACCAAATTTTCATGCCATATTATGATATGTATAACTTTGATCCATCGTAAACCTCAGATTATATATCAATTATTACATATACCAACCTTTCATAATTGCTTCCACACATTTTGTTTCATAATGTAATCGCATGACCACCACTCAACTGTATAAAATCAAATCCTGATCCGCCATAGAAAATAGATTTATAAAATAAATGCATGTATCATTTTATTCAATGTTTTTTGGTGACAGAATGATTTGGTTAAAGGTCTTCGACAAGGGGTGCCAAACATTCACACGACGAGCGACCTCATCGACGAATCCCCCAAACTATCACGTGATAACAACTATCTGACGTCATTAGTAGAACAGGAGATTTGTAAAGGTATAACGATATATTGTTTAATGAAAGTTATATTTCATAAAATGACAAACGTTACCGCACATGTTCATTGAAAATAAGGTGCTTGTTATGCAATTCCTCACGAATTCATTTGAAAAAGAACACTCTTTTATAATACAAACCTTAGGCAGGAAAGGTTATACAAAAGAAAGGGTAGTGTCAAAGTCCAGTAAAAAAAAAAAAAATACAAAAATCAGCGGCTTTCAATAAAATTTCAGAAATCAGACAAGTGATTATTATTAAAAAAAGATGTTTGTTAATAATAATAATCGCTGTTTGACATTTCAAGAATTTATAAAAATCAGACATGAGACAATGTTGATTCAGCCTTACCTATTTGCCGTGTTTATCATTTTGTTTAGCATAACTTTGTACGGTACTCATAAATTGTCATTTTTTTTCCCTCTGGTGCAGAGTGCTTAATCAAGAACTGAAATGAAAATATTTAGGGACTAAGATCGTAGAGAGGGCCATTTAACACCATAGAAATGTATAAGCTATGATCCAAATAGTCTGCGACTGGAGATTTTGCATGAGTGAGAGCAGAACGATTTGTCAATAACCCTGCAAATAGTACAAGAATAAAAAAAAGTGAGAAATGTAAAAGAAAAAAAGTATGTTGTTAACCATGGCACAGTGGTAAAATATCTAGTGTGAACAGCATATTGATTATTTGTTTCAAATATTAATTTCCTGTATTGTTTTTCATTCAAATGAAGAAAAAAAATTAACGTAAACGCTTGAACTTTAATTTTTATTTTCTCTGCTTCCCCCGCCCAGAATCCACGTTTTATCTTTCTAGCAAGCTCTCATCGTGGTCAGATATGGTTATCGAGGATCGATACAACCAACGATGGCAAGACGTCGATGAACTTTTCAGATAGCCCATACTAATATGCACCTAACAAAAGCAACAACGACAACGACAATGAAAAGAGTAGGCCTCCAGTGGTACATCTAGCTTCGGTCACACGAAATGAATCAACTACATGTACCTTGAGTCAGCACATAGTTTCCCGCTGACTGGGACTAAGCCTTTCAGTCAGTTTGTTTGTTTTCGCACATCTTGCCGTTTATTTGTCAGTATTTGTTTGTATACATTTCAGTTATTTGTTATCATGACATTATGTTGTTGTATGTTTCCAACATCTTTACTCCTAATCCCCTTTCCCTTAAAAAAAAAAACTTTTTATCGCTTTTACTTCGTCTATATTATATTATCTTATGTGGCGTACCCGACAAACGCCTATGCTTTTGGTGATTTACACCTCTTCCCTTGTATAAAAAAATGCTATCAGGGTTATGCACCTTCATTATTAATGTCATTCAATGTATACACTTATTACTTGAATATTTGATGTGAATAAAAAATGGAATAGAAATATTTTACTTCAAATTAAACTTCATTGAATCTTTCAAATATCTCCCGACATTCACCATCTCATATTTTGATATACAATCTTGTCCACTAATAACATTTCTATTCTGTGTTGACAACTGACATATTTCTTAATTCATTTTTTTCTCGAAGTTTAAAAAGTATTTTTGCAAGCGCCAACATTTTTTGTCCAGAGCTAATAGCGGTTCCGTCATTTAATTTTAAGCGATCAGTTTCAAGTTGTGTCTTTTTGTCTTATATCTCTTTTTATAAGAGATATAGGCCTATATAAATTCAGGAAATGGTGGCAATTTTGGGCGCCATTATGGATTTCGGGATTGGCTGAAGTGATGTATAACTACTCGTGTGTTTCAACATTTATCAACATGTATTTGAACGAGTTCCTTATGCTAAAAACATATGTTTAGACATTTAAATTTTGTATTTAAGTTATTTAGTTGCAGAGCTAAAAGAAATTCAGGAAATGGCGGCCATTTTGGACGCCATCTTCGATTGCGGAAAACGCTCAAGGAGGACATACGAGGACTTTTAGTATGTTAATCTAGACATATTCCTGGAGCTATCCTGAAAAAACATCCGAATAGAGAACAGTGGACTAACATAATATTAGAGAGAGAGAGAGAGAGAGAAAGGGAGAGAGTTGTCAACTTTTCGAAAATGATATGCAAAACATAGTCTTGGAAGGTAATCAAACAAGCAATGAACCAAGTTAATAATAAATCTGAGGTAAATAAGACCCGAAAGATATAGTTAATATGTGTAATACTTATTTTTCTTTAATAGGTGATAACCTTGCTAAAAACATTCCGCCTTCAAACACAAATTGTGTGGAGTTTTTAGGTCCTCACAATCCAAATTCCATTTTCATTGTTCCAACTAACTTAGGCTAGAAATTATGAAAATTGTTTCTGATCTGAAAGATAAGAAAAGTTCAGGATATGATGGAATTAATAATGTCATACTAAAATCCATTATTCCCTTCACTGTAGATCCATTGGTTCACATCTTTAATATATCACTTTTACATGGTAAATTTTCCTAAATCTGTGAAAATAGCCCAAATAATTCCGTTATTCAAAAATGGTGATAAACTGGATGTGGGTAACTACCGCCCGATTTCTTTATCATTTTCATTTTCTAAAGTTCTGGAAAGAATAATTTATATCCGGATGATCTCCTTTTTGAAAAAATATGATGTTTTTTCAAACTTCAGAGAAAAGCACAGCACCGTCCATGCTTTAATGTCTTTTGTTGAGAAGGTTGCCCACGCAATTGATACATCGTCACACACTGTAGGTATATTCCTGGACTTCTCCAAGGCCTTCGACACGATCAATCACGAAATGTTACTTTACAAACTATCTCACTATGGTGTACGTGGAAGGGCCTTGCAGTGGTTCAGGAGTTACCTCTCTAACAGACAGCAATATGTACACTAAAACGAGCATGCATCTGAATTATGCAATATTAGTTGTGGTGTCCCACAAGGTGGTCTGCTAGGCCCGCTACTCTTTATTCTTTACTAATATAAATGACTTTTGTAAATCATCTAACTCCCTGTCGTTTATTTTATTTGCAGATGATACTAATTTATTTTTTTCACTCCAAAATTCAAACGTCCTGGTTGATAAAATCAGTGCCGAGTTATTAAATATATTGCAGTGGATACAAGCAAATAAATTGTCACTTGATCTCCAGAAAACGAACTATATGCTATATAGTAACTCCTTGGATTCATTACCCTCTGACATTATTTTTGACAACACCCCCTTTGAAACCTGTCCCTCTTACCAAATTCTTGGGTATAACAGTCGATGATAAACTTTCTTGGAAACCACACATTGATAATATTTGTAAAATCATTTCGCGCAGTATTGGTGTTATTAATAGACTAAAATGCACAATCATCATTATTTATGCTGTATTCCTCATTGATCTTGCCATATTTGAATTACGGTCTTCTAGTTTGGGGCAATAGATATCATACATTGTTGGAAAGAGTTCTATTGCTGCAAAAGAGAGTTATTCGTATTATCTGTAATGCCCCCATACGCTCCCATACTGATGCTCTGTTTTTTTAAAATAACATCTTAAAAATTAAGGATTTGTACTTACTACTTCAGCTCGGTCAATTTATGTTTAATTACAATAGTGGTATACCGCCCTCTGTGTTTAATTATATGTTTCTTAAAATACATGCTGTTCATAGATACCCCACTCGACAATCCGATAAGTTTCACTCACCTCTTTTGAGAACATGTTCTGCACAGAACACGTTCATTTTTGAAGGCCCTAAATTTAGGAATACTCTGCATAACAATTTGAAAACTTCCCTTCACTAATTGCTTTTAAACAAAAGTTAATATTTTCCTATCGGTCTTTTAATATCTAGAAATTTATGATAGAACATCTCCTTCCCAATATTTTTTTCTTTCCCTCTTTTCTTCTGCCCATCTCTAAAAATCAAGACTACTTGCCATCATTTTCTTGCTCTTTTTGTTTCAGCTATCTCAAGGATTTTGTGCGCTCCCTATTTCGTCCTTGATTTCTACAATTTTCCTTTTCTCTCCTCTCCTTCCCTCCAAACGCAGCCCACATTTTTTCTTCTTTTTTTTCTTTTTTCTGTTCTTTCTTCGTCATGTAAGTTGTTATGTCTTCTTGTTTACAGTCATTAAGTGTTTTGATAAATGTTGTCTCTGTTGGCCGCTATTATTCGTTGATTGATTATGTATTCCATATTCTTTTCACACTCATTATTATCTGAGAAGTCCACAATTTACAAAGCTCTGCTTTTCAGTGGACCTCTCCATTTCCTCAAAATATAAATGCAGTTCATTTTAAAATTCAATTTTTGTTTTAATCAAATGAATAAATTACTATTAAGATTTCTTTATTCCGAATGTAACTATGTTTTGTATACATTGTACACTGTATTCGTTATTATGTATTGTATTTTGTTGGAAATGAAAAAAATAGAATTAAATGAAATGAAATGAAATGAGAGAGAGAGAGAGAGAGAGAGAGAGGGGGGGGGGGTACAAGAGAAGATACTTTTTACTATTTCAAGTGCCAAGACAACAATTGGAAGTTTAAGTGTTGCTAGGAGTGCTATCTCAAGTTTTTTTATTCTAAGAAAATTATAATATTTATTTGTGAAATATACAAGGTGATCATCTTGATATGATATGGTTGGTTGGTTGGTTCTTCGTTTAGATGGCGCTCTTCAATCTCAAAGATTATTTGCGCCAGTCAATTTCGTGTATAGCTTTGGCGTGGGCTTCGGAAATCAAGCCCACGAGCGACTTTCCTTGGTGAAATGAAATTAATAGTGATATGGTTTTATAAAAAATTAAAAAAAAAAAAAAAAAAAAAAAAAAAAAAGCTGCAATATTAAAATTGCATAAAATGCACATAAAAGGCGAGATGGGAGTTAGTTGCAATTGTTCATGGAAAAACCGCAAATACTTCATTTTATATATTATTACAGGATCGACATAAGTTAAGGGGATCCCTGATAGCTTTAAAAGCTATCTAAAACGATTAGTATCGTATATGTAACCCAATAATTCACGAGTAAAAATTGGGTTAGACATCAATAATTGTTTCAGATTGGGGTTGTTCAATTTAATCCTTTCTTTTAAGAGACGTCTATCTTTGTCGTATTTTGTACAATAGAAAATAAAATGTTTAATTGTTTCATCTTCTTGACAAACTTTACAAAGACCAGTATCGTGTTGGTTAATTTGAAAAAGGTAATAATTTAAACTACAGTTACCTACTCTTAGTTGTTGTATCAAGCATTCTTCTCTGCGAGATAGGCCTTGTCTATGTATGGGCTTTGAAACGTCGCTATGCAAAGCATATAAAAATCTACCGTGTTCTGCATTGTCCCATTCTGCTTGCCATAATTTGTTATAATGGATCAAACGAGAGGCTGCCAATTCACTTCTTGTATTTGGTATAACTATGTCTATACACCTTTTCATGGCTCCTTTTTTGGCAGCCCGATCTACGATCTCATTGCCCCTAATATCGCAATGTGACGGAATCCATTCAAAAGCAACACAAACATCCTTAAACTGCAAAATATTAATTATGGATAAAATTTCATTTACAATAGCACATCTAATAAAGTATGAATCGATCATTTGTAAAGCTGACAAAGCGTCGCTAAAAATTACCACCGAAGAGGATTCAATAAATGTATTAATCCACTCTAGTGCCATTAGTATGGCCACTAGTTCTGCTCTCATAATACAGACATGGGATAATCTAAAAAATTTCACCACATTATAATGAGACACATAAAATGCGGCTCCTGTCTTCCCATCCTCGAGTTTAGAACCATCTGTATATATATGTAAAAACCCATTCCATGAATTTCCAATGCTATCTAGAACAATCGATTTTATTTCAAATGGAGGCATTTCCTTTTTTTGCACTTTGCCATGGTGTTCGAAAGACACTTGTGGTCGTGCTAACCGCCATTCTGGGATTTTCGGCAATAAGTTGGTTTGCCCTTCCACCACTACTTCGTCTCTAAAGGATCGCAGTTTAAAAGGTCCTTCTCCTATCTTCCATTCTAAGTTATTTAAATCATAGTCATCACCCAATACTTCTTTTGTTGGGTGGTTTAAAGTACTAGACAGTAAATAAACTCGAAAGTTATCATTTAACAACCTTCTACGATATCTCAAAGGCAGCTCCCCGGTCAAAACTTGTAAAGCCTCCAAGGACACATTGTGTATTGTGCCTGTAATAATTTTTAAGGCTCTGTATTGGATATGGAAAGTACAATGTTCGGACAGAAAGAGGGCGCTATCTACTCATCCCACATAGTTTGGCCAATTTGGTTTCACTGGGTTACAACATGGCGTATATTCTTTTGTTTTGTGCTTGCCCAACAAAGCAGTAGTCGCCATATTGTGACCAACTCGAACCGGGTTGGCCAAACTCTGTATATAAATGGCTCTGATCCCACACAGAGCCATCTATACACAATGACACTGATCCCACATTGAGTAGGAGAGTTTGGCCAACCCTGTTCGAACCACGATACTGCTTTGTTCGCCGAGCATGAAAGAAAATATTTGGGGAATTTATCAAATAACCGCCCCCCTTAAAGGAGATGAATAAATGATGTTGATAATTGTAATAGTATTGATTATAATAATAATAAACAAATACATAAATGAAATTTTAAAAAGGGGGACAAAAATCCGATGGAATCTTTTTATAAAGCTTTTTTTTTGTTGGTTTTTTTGTTGGCTGTTCTGTCGTCTCGACGATTTTAAAGAAGAAAAGTTACCCCTCCCGTGCCCCCCCCCCTACTCTCTCTCTCTCTCTCTCTCTCTCTCTCTCCCTTTCTCTCTCTCTATTTAGTCTTTCTCCCTCCCCTCTCTCTCCCTCTGTTATTCTCCTTTTCTCTTCCATTCTGTCATTCACCTTATCTTTTCCCCTCTCCCTTTCTCTCTCCTCCCCCTCTCTTTTTTCATGTTCTTTCTTCCTTTCTTTTTCATCGCCCCCATCTCCCCCGCTCTCATTTCCCCCTCCCCCTCCTCGCTATCTCCCCCTCCTTAACTAATTCTGTTTACTCGCTTTTTCTCTTTTCCCGTTTTCTATTGAATATAATAAATATTTACGAACAATTCAAACCTAAACATTATTGTGACCCTTTTTTCTGTTTTATTGATTCGAAAGCAACAGATTAAAGCAGACATACAGACAAAATACAAAAGCAAAAGGGTGCAGTAGTCAAAATAGATATAATCATATCAAATGCAGGCAGTTTCAAAGATTATTATGATTTAAATTTTTATTTGCCAAAACGTGTAGTGAGTTTTCTCTTCCTTTTCGGCATTCGGGTTTGAATTTCTTCGTTACGTATAATATGAACACTTTCTTGCCACCTTTGTCTCATACAGTGTAGCACGACAAAGAATACAAGAGCGTAATCTGCCAGTACATAACATCACAAACACTACATGATCATATCGAATTCTGTGTATTCATTATTTCATCTGAACTTTAGTCAAAAATAAATACCATATCAAAAACATAGAGATAACATGCACATATAGGTTGCATGACAAAAGAGAAATGGCATTGTATTATATTTCAGAGTGCAACAGAACTTTATGAACTGAGTAACCGTGCTCCGTGTATTTCTCATCAGTCCTCCAATTAAGACATACTTAAATCTACTTTGTGTATTGTGTTTATCTATTCATTAAAAGTGTCGACTTTCATTTCAACATGTACAAAGTTCACTTGACTTTACCACATTTGTCTTTAAAAAAAAATCCACAGCACGTAACAAAATATTTCACATAGCAGTGAATAAAGACATACCAAAGCTTTCCATATTGCATTCTTCAAATAAACACCAAATAAACTCTAAAAATGAACAGAAAGCCGAAATCGGACAATATAAACTAAAACTAAAGAAACAGCGCGAGGATACCATGTTTTATACAATTTGATTACAATAGTTATAGCTTTTGGAATGTAACATGGAATGCGTGTTGAAACATCACTAGAAAAAATCCTTTTAAAGCCCCACTGCACTAATTATAGCTACTTGCGCCCTCTATAAAGCAAACAATGCCTAAGCGGTGACCATTGGTCCCTCATGATGCTCTTTTACTTATGTTTATTGAGATCTGAATTGATGAGATAACCACCTGTCATTGACCATGCAGGGACATCTAATCCCTCCTGGCCAAACTAGTGCAGATAGGCCTTAAGGAATAACATCAACAACTTTTGCATGAACATATTGCCCACTGTTAAAACAAAACTGTGTTCAGAGGGTTAAAACAAACAACAAAAGTATGAAGAAAAAAATCAAGTGAAATTCCACGTGAAATCAAACATTTGATGCCTTGATCGTTGATAACTAAAAGATGATGCTTATCTGACCACTTTTAAATTGTTGATACTAATAATAAAATAACACATGATCATTGAGTACTTCAATGCGCTTTACGATGTAAAGTTCAATACCCCTAGTGACCCGGCCAGTTTTTAGGCCCCCACCATTTTTACTGTTTACAATACAAGCATAAATGTGTAGGGCAAATGCACAAGCAGTAACATTGGTTTTCGGCAATTGGTACAGGTACATATTTTATCCTGCATGGTTTAAGAGCGGTAATGCAGATTAATAGTTGGCAAAGGAGTACTTGTACAAGAGATATATAAATGAAGAATTCTTGGCATAATATAATGCCTTTTATAGCATGACATGGGCGCAGCCATTTTCTTAAAAATGTGACGTACCAGGCGGAGTTGTACATGCATCATGCACCAAGCTTTAATTGGAACTTTTTAATTCAATGACAAAACCTTAACCTTTCAATGAGGGAAAATCATAGCCAAGAAGGTAAAAAAATACATTTGGTGAAAAATATATGATAAGGTAACAATAATTGTAACTCATTTATTTAAAGATAGTGGTTGAAAAAATCTATTTCATTTAATGCGAGACCTTCATCCCAGAACAACACCAACTTGTTTATGCAATTTGCGTTCGGACAATTGGAGAAAAAAGGATGATAGCAGTTGAATTAAATGCTTCAACACTACAAACACCTGGGAAGGAAGCATCCATTAATTATAATACATTTAGTTGATAAACGACTCCGTATAGATCATGCAATCAAGAAAATGGCGATGCCCATGTTTTACCGAGAAACTGTACTTTATTCTTGCTTTATGCCTCTCTCAAGCACTTTGGCGGGGAAGCTTGTAGATTAATGGACAAGAATGCAATAAATCTCTTAAAACAACTACAGTTGTTCTTTGGGGTCAGTTTTCCTTTAAAGAGAAATATTGATACATGATCGGGGGCAGCGATTCCACGTCGTAACCGTAAGGACAGGACCTGCGGGAAATCGCCGAGAGACGGAGAGCGGAGAAGCGTCTAGCTGTAGACATTATTAGGGCACAAACGTCCTTTTAAGGCAGTGCCTTAAAAGGACGTTTAAAAGGACGTCACATTGCCTTAAAAGGATGTCACACGTGGCAGTCCATATTCTCGTCGTGCAAATCGAAAAGTTCCTATTCATACTCCGGACGACAGTGCTCCGCGGTAAAATTTCTCAATTAACTGAATTCATAACTTCAACCCTTGACGTAACTCTAACATTAGGCATAACCACAACCCAAAGCCGGAGTAACAGTCTGATAATACATCTCTGCGGACACACTCCAACCTAAATAACAAGAATCTTTTTGAGGCAAACAAATTTTAGATTCTAACGACGCCCTCCGTTACATTACATCTCTTTGCAAAGGAGTATAGCGACAGAACTTGTGTAGTCCCGAGTATTATGGGGGTGGGGGCAGTCTGGAAGTTGGCTATAAGGACTGAATCATTAATATACATATCGTAAATGCAATAAGATATTTCAAATGAGTTTCTTGAATAATCGGCTTTTTATGAGCATACCAATTACTTTGTATACTTGTAAACATATATACAGGTTAGTTTGTAATCCGTCTGGCCAGTTGTAGACCACTGTGTCTGTCTGCATCAGAAACGGATTTTTTTTAATGAATGTCATTAAATGACATTGTTACCAAAAAGAGCATCATGGAAGACCACAATAATTGATGAAATGTGCCACCCTGTATACGTGTCAGAAATAAATACATACATATATATATATATATATATATATATATATATATATATTGTACATTATTGTTGTGTTGGGTTCGGCGAGGAGGCTAGGAGCATAAATAAAGGGACTTGTAATCGTTCTTGTTTACAATTTCAGAAGCATTTATTCAATCTCAATACTTAACTACATAACACAATAACTCTCTAGACGACTCTAGAATACGAGATACAAAATATTATCTCTCTCTAGACTCTTTAATCTATCTCCATCCCCTTCTCTAGTTGAGAGACCTCACTTATATTATGAAGTTCTGGGGGCGTTAACATTTGGGAATAAGTAATAGAAATGCTTTGACTGGTTAATGGTCAGGGTTGTCATGGTATTATGGGGAGTGGTAATGGAGAGTGCAAGTGACTGGGGTTTGGGCCTAGTATGAGTCATAGTTATTGGAATGTGGTTCGAATGTCGGTAGTAAGTTCGAGTAAGTTACTAGTGGTAGTATCAAAAAGTGAATCATTTATCATGAGAGGGTTTAAACCTACTACCACCGGACAGTGGCGGATCCAGGGGGGGGGGCCTGCAAAATCACGCGATTTTTACCTTTTTGGGGGTTGGCCCCCCCCCCCCTGGCGCTCAAGGGGGGGGGGGGGGGGGGGGTGCAAATTTTAAAATTTTCGAGGACCCAAAAAAAAAAATTGTGCTCACTACCCCCCCCCCCCCCCCCCCCCCCCCCCCCCCCCCCCGGCTTAACGATTATAGGGCGCATGCATATTTTATACGGCGCATGCATGCACCGTACACCGGAAGAATGCAAGTACCGGAAGTGGCCCGAAATTACATCCAAGAGTCGCATATCTGGGCATTTCGGGATATTGGCGATAGCGAGAATTTGACGAATATGCTACTCGTGACACTGTTTGAAAATATAAACACAGATAATTATATTATCGTATGGGGACACCTGTCTCTGCCAGTCGACAATCACCCCCCGGACATCTACCCTCAAATCACGAACAAGAAGATCAATTTCCCTGATCAATTTAACCCTAGAACAATTGTTAAAACATGCTGATCCAAACAGTTCCCTTCTACGTACAATCTCTAACAGAGGGCACTATTTGGAGCTTCATGAAATGACTGGCGAATACTATTTTCCTTTCTGTTGCTGTTGCTGCTGTTGGATGCATGCTAAGACCTATTTGAATAGTTCATTGACCTCTTGCCATCTTTTGTCATATCGATCCTGTTTAACCATATCGGACCACGAAGACAGATGACTAGATAGGAAGAATGTTGATTCTGAGAGGGAGAAACAGAGACAATAAAAGTTCAAAGTTTATTTTTCCACAATTCAATGAATAATACAATACATGAAAACAATATTCGAAACCTAACATTATTATGGTTTTCAGTTTCGTATTTTCTTAGCCCGTACTTTTTTCTTCTTTCCTCTCTTATATTCAATTTGTGTACTATTTGTCAGGCTAAGACGACTTATTCTCACCAACTGAAATCACTAACTAGGGACTGATTGAACTAAAGGTTTGACACATCTATGGCCATATGCTTCACTTTGATATTTAGTCCCCAGATTTAGTCCCGCACTATTTCGATTTTTCGAATGAAAAAACAAATACTAACTATATTTCAATGAACATGTCTAATAATGTTTATCGCTTTATGGGATATAGATATCATAAAACAATAGTTATACCTTTACAGATCTCCTGTTCTACTAATGACGTCAGATAGTTGTTGTCACGTGATAGTTTTGGAGATTCGTCGATGAGGTCGCTCGTCGTGTGAAAGTTTGGCACTCCCACACGAAGACCTTTGATCAAATCATTCTGTTACGAAAGAGAAAAATGGAACTAAAAACTTGGGCTAACAGAAACATGCGTTTTATGTGTAGGCCTAATTTATTTTAATTGAAAAATCAGAATTTGAGTTTAAGGCATTGTAAAAGTAACCATCTCTAAGCAATTGATCGGGGATGATTGTGATGTAGGCTACATATGAATGAGTGTGTACTGTGACATCTTGAAATCATCAAGATAAAAAGAATTTGACACAATCTTGCCGAAAATCACATGCACTGCACATAGACATAAATTACTATATACGATCACAACTACTACTTCTATGACCTCTACTACTACCACAACAACCAATACTATTAGTATAAATACATGTTCTTCTATGAAAGCGCGATAGCTCAGTCGGTAGAGCAGTGGTCTCGTTATCCGGTGACCTGGGTTCGAAACCAAGGCGATACGCTATAGTTCCCTTTGGTAAGGCATTAATCCTCATTACCATGTCTCTCAGAGAGGACCTTACGCCGTCGGTCGTCTGGTTGCCTACTAACAAGCATTTATTTATGCTTTCTTAGCAGTCGGGTAAAATAACCGCCACTACACTTCAAATTCACTTTTGTATACAGCTAAATTGTTAGACACATGATTTGCTTTGATGATGATTTGTTTTACCATGGAATTCCATGCACTAAGCCATCGCGTCTCCCCAGAACTTGCAGGGTCGATACTTTGTTCTGCGATCAATATATAAATAAATGGTTTGTTTTATTGAAAAATCATCTCGCAGCCCGAAGGAATAGTGTGACTTTTTACAAATTGATAAAAACATTATTGGTTTAGGGTTGAAGCTGGGAATGAGGTGAGTATAGGATATCACATTTATATATATCTTTATATTTTATATGTTTACTATTAACTTGAACGAATTTTGAATTTATATCATGTAATGTCCGATTTCACATGTATTTATTGTATGAATTTATATCATGTAATGTCCGATTTCACATGTATTTATTATACAATAAATACATGTGAAATCGGACATTACATGATATAAATTCAAAATTCGTTCAAGTTAATAGTAAACATATAAAATATAAAGATATATATAAATGTGATATCCTATACTCACCTCATTCCCAGCTTCAACCTTAAACCAAACTGTATTCGTAACCCTATACCAACCTGACACTATAATGTAATCACAGCTATAATCCTATATCTTCGACGAAACTATAATGATTCTCTGAACAATAGTCGTCGGAGCACATTTCACTTTACGTCGGCCCACCAGCTTATTAACTACCCACCAGCTTATTAACTAACCACCAGCTTATTAACTACCCATCAGCTTACTAACTAACCTGGTTTCCGAGTTCGGATGCAAAATAAGCAGCTTTAATGTCAGATATCGCCATGAAGTGAGAAACTTTTGCTACCAATTGAGACGGTGTTAAAGCATCTAACGCGTTGCAGAGATCCAGTGCATAATCTTGCTTACACCTGTCAATAAAAAAAATGTATAAAAGTTAATGATTAAAGTTAATGATATTTTTAATCAAGCAATAAAAATGTTGAATGTCAACAAAAATTGAACAACTTGAAAAGATCATTTAATAATTGTGTCACAGTAATATTTAAACACTTATACAAGTTGGTGTAGCCAAAAACTTATGGAAAAGGAATACGGGCAAATCCTTCCTTAAATTTGCCGGCATATATTGTTCATGATGATTAATCTATTTATATTCGTTTTGAGCCCCCCCCCCCCCCCTCCCCTGCCCCCATACATGCGAAAGCTGGCTTTCCCGACGATTTGATCGTTAACATGGTTCAGTCCATTGGTGCCTGGTCACACTTATATCAATTATATCAATCTGTTATCTCAAAAAACAGTTATGTAATTTATCATAATTATTATTCGGTTTCAACGACATATTACAAAGCCTGTCTTAAAAGGAAGTTTGAAGGTACTCGTCAATAAATCGCATAAATTGTAATGAAATTCTTCAAAATTATGTTTTTCTTTCCTTAATTTCTGAAAATCAATTAAGATAGGCAGACATTTTAAATCGTTTAAAGTGGTCCCTGTGTCATGGTATCCCGATCACGATCCATGTACAATAGACAGAAATATTCATCATGCAAATATACTCTGCTACCTGCGTAATGATTCACCTATACAGCAATTTATCGTAATCGCGATATGATGAACTATCCAATTTCGAAATAGCAGTCCAATTATTATCACGCACATGATTGGAATAGTTTTTGAGGATAACTTACGAGTCCAGATACATTCGAATCTTAACTCTTTAAAGGGCCACTCTAACCCAACTAACATAGCCTTTCAAAACATGAATACACCTCTACTTGTTAATATTCCAGCCTCTGATTTTTCAGAAAATCTCTAAATTGACCCCTCCCCCCCCCCCCCCAAAAAAAAAAAAAAAAAAAAAAATGACCATACATTTTTCACAGTTCTCACGTTTGCTCGACTACGTCCCTCGAAAAAAAGGTAATACGGTCACGTGGCTTGATGACGCATTTGACGTCGTTGCGGGCATGTCAGATTTAATAATTTCATAATTAGGAATGACGAAATTGCCAGAAACGAACTGGGATTATCAAGAGCATATTTCTTTCGGATTAATGTATTTTTCCCCCAATTAATATCATAGTTTACCCTTTTAAAGACATTTAATGCCTAAATCACCCTCCTTTTCACCGGAGAGGCGTCTGCAGTGACGTCAAATGCGTCGTCATCGAAACTGGGCTTTTTTCTGAGCGTTCTGAGTCGTCATTTTTAAAGCTAAATTCCAGAATTATTGATGATTTCTAAGAAAAATCATTGTCATGTTCGGAATCCCCGTCAAAAAATATTTTACATGTCTCCCCCCCCCCCCCCCCCCCCATTTTTAGCCCGTTTTGGTTAGAGTGGCCCTTTAATACACGACTGAAAAGAGGTTTTGATATTAGCCCAATACTGTTCTAAATCGATGCAGGTCTGAAAAGTATGGTGATGCAATTTTTCTTAATGTCCTATATGTGCATTATTGCGAGTTGATAGACAACAAAATGTGCATTTCACCTCACAGTTAATGGCAAAGACCATCAAAACAATGTGCTCATGATCATAAGAGGTTTGTTTATAACCACAGAACACCCGCTTCAATGGACCGGTTTACTAACATGTTTGATTTTTTTCACTGGTATGCTGAGTTCGACGGTTCAGGCTATCTAAATGTTTATAGGCGATACGAATGCTTGCCCGATTTGGCGCCACGGCGAGTACCAATTCCTATTGGGATACTGTTTCATAATTGTTATTTTGATTTACTGAAATGCTTTTCTTTTGTAAATCATTGAGCTTTATTGGGATTGCTCAATTTATACATTAGAAGGAGAATTATTTTGTTTGCGAGATTTGGCATCACGTCGTGTAACTGACCTCTATTAAATGTTATTTCCTAATTGATAATAATAATCTACGGTATGTTTTTGTTTTACAAATTATTAAAGGGATAGTTGAATTCTGTTTTCAGACCACAATTACCTCCAAAGTGCATGTTTATTGCTCTTATTCTTATCCATGACATTTCTAGTGCCCTTTTAGAACCTAAAATTGCCATGAAGGTAATTTAAGACCCCAAAATGTGTGAAATTTAGCCAATACGATCAATTTAGCTCCACTTTTAAAAAAATACGGTGACCGTTAATAATTTTTTAATTAAAAATAACAATACATGGACCGGCTGGTTGTGCGTAATATAACCAACGCGAAAATGCCAACATCGGCATTGGCTGAAAAAGTAAAAGGCGCTATTTCGTTTTTTCAACGGCTTTTTCAAATTATCTAATATTTGTGGTGGTACACAAGTATTAGAAATCGTTATATTTATGGATATTTCAGCCGTCTCGGAACCGATTATGATCAAACAAAGATGCTTTTGTCATTTAAATTGTATGTTCTTTCAAATTTGACACTCAGTTTTTCATTATCTCACACAAATATTATTTTGTGTATCGCCCTCTGCAACAGAACTCAACTATCCCTTCAAAGGTACTATGTCCCTTTTGCAGGCTCAAAAAATGAAAAGGTTAAATTCCAATGGCATTTGAAAGATAATACTAATTTAGAACTCCCCTTAAAAAAAATTGGGCTTGAAAAAGTCTTTAAGTGGGAAAATAACGACTATTAGTTGTCAAAATCGACTTAGGAGCTATAAGCCAATAAGTAATAGTCTTGATGTTCAGACCATTGTACCGCATGGTCGTACGTTTTATGCTGCGCAAAGATTCAATCAGTTTAATTTCGGCCATTACAAGAAGTGGGTTATTGATGTAGACAAATCCTTTACAGCTTATGTTATGTATGTTATTACCAAATAAGAAGAAAAAGCCAGTCAGTCACTCAATACTGACAAAAGTGTCTGACAGTGATGTCTAGCAAGTAAACGGGTTTCCTTGCATAATTTGAATATGATGACACTGCTAACGTTTAAATTTCACAGATAGGACATACATGACATATTCATAATTCCTGCAAAGTTCTACATAATTTGAGGTTGGCTGCAAAAGGGACATAGTATCTTTAAGCTAACTTGGGCTTGCACTATTCAATTATTTGCAGAGAATCGTGAGATGCCTAATCTGGTGCCACGTTGGGCAACAGTTCCTATCGAATTGCAGTTTTATAATTGTTATGGTAATTTATAGAAGTGGCAAGTTGAATGGTTAAATCATTGTTACCCATGCTATACACTCCAACCAACCCAATACACACCGAGCTGCGATATGACAATTAACTGATTGATTGATAAGTTACAAGAAAAAACAGTGTTATTGTAAGGTTTTACATACAGGATTTGGAAACAATTGGGAGCAATATTTACCATGTATCTTTCCACTCTTTGTTGAATCTCCAATGTATGCAGACATATGTCAAGTTATTCATGGCAGTGTTGATAAAGGATTGCGCCGTTTCTCTGACTACTTTTCCCCTGACGAAGTATTTGGTGTAACGACTGATGTGTTGCGCGTAGCTTAGTCGACCCAGATACCCATACGGGTAAAGAAATGCATTACACTGATGCGATGTAATCAACGAGTCTGGATACTTATCGAGGAAATCATCGACAGGAATAGAGTACGGCAGATCGGCATGGATCTGAATGACGTCATCAGATCGGTTCATATACAAGAAAGTTGAAGGTATCTTTATTCCCGTCCAATTATAATATGCCTTGATGGTTTGATCGACGAAAGAATTTATTTGATCTGTTTGAGAAAGAGTCTGATTGATCACCATATTGGTACCAAGGAACACCGCGTCCGCTTTCCGCTTGCATTGGCGTTTGAATTCTTCCATGGTTGCTACGGATACGAACTGGGCCAGTATGTCGGGATCAAGGGTTTCTTCAAAGGTGTGAGGGAGCTGTGTTTCTACTGTCGGTCCATGATCGAAAAACGGAGCAAGGACGAGTGTCAGGTTTCGCCTTTGAGCAATGATGGATACAAGTTTGAGCGCTTGGAATTGGTTGTTTGGTCCCTGGTTACCTAGCAACATTGGCAAAATGTATTTCACATTTGACACGTTCTTGATATTTACTTCATCTTGCCTTGTATTCTGCATCCTAGTTCTCACGTTTTCGCTCTGATTCGACATGCCTGCCAAAGGATTCATTTTATTGTCACTTGGAACGACAACGTCAGCATTTCCTTGCTCATCACCGGTCCCTTTCTGGAATGAAGACTTTCCTTTGTGTCTGCATCTCGCACTTGGTTTAAATCTCGCTGCATCTCTTGCCCATTCTTCAAGTCTTTCGGGGATATTATGGGATACACCCTTCGGTCATCCATCCCTGGTAATTCCATGAGGTCGCCTATCGAATCGTCAGCCAGTTTTGTGTGTAACAGGGCTAGAAAAAGTTGGCAAAATGTGAAAAGCACGAAGAACAAGAGTAGAGGTTTGGTGCCGCATCGCCTCAACGCACCCATGCTACTAGATCGCTTGCGAGTTCTCCTGTATTGGGAAAGGCATCAAGACACAAACAAAATTAGTGTGTGAAGGAATGGTGTTTAGAGGTGGTAATTTTAACATACAAAATATGATAATGGCTTCTAAACACAAATGTCGACTACGATATAAGAAAGCACCTGCTTACTAGCTTATTGATCTGAAGTGTATATTAGGGCCTCCAGCGTGCGTTGGATATCATTATCTTACACTACTCAACCATGTAATAGAACGACCGTTAAACAGAAATATTCCATCTGTCGCGCTTTAAATTAAAATCCGTGTTTATTTAATCAAGGCCCACTTTTCGACGCTATTATAGCCACGTCAGGGGATATTGGACACTATGGCACGAAATTCTTAAACCAGTTCAGATTAAAGGTAATACAAAGTTTGGTATTGGGTCATGAATTTGGTTCAAATGAACATATTGGAAGCATATGCGATCCTACAATATTAAGTGATCGATATCGCGGTTAAAATCGAGTCTAAAGTCAAAGATTGTAAATAATATACTCTTTAAGTTGTATAGCTCCCTCTCAAGGTCAAGATATTAATTAAGCCATGAAACAATGTTTCTTGACTAATTTCGACCGATTGGCTATTCTCGTTTGGAAATTATATATCACAACTACATATTCTGAGATTCATGGTCGCAGTTACCATTGTATGGCTGTAAACGCTATTTGAAATTTAACAATATTTACCAGGAGCACCGGTAAATTTTGATATTCAATTTGTTTCGAAAGCAGAAGTGTTTTAAGGGCTAAATTTTCTAGTGCTTATAATACATCCACAGGGGCATCCAAAATTGTAAAGAATCACTATCCAGCCAATTTTCAAAATTTCCCAAAACTTTGTATTACCTTTAAGCTACTCGTGAAACTGCTCCACGATAATTATTATAGCCCTGTACACACGATGGCAAATTTGGGTCGGCGTAAAGGTCGTGTTTAGAGCTAGTCGGTATGGTAAGGTCAGCGTAAAGGTCGGCGTAGTGATCGTCTGAACGATAGTCGTGTCCAGGAGTAACGCGCTAACACGACTACTGTAGAGGGTACCGTTAGTTTACCGTGCGGATGCCCTCACTCGGCACTCGGAGTATAACCTTTCGCAAGGGCTGTTTGTTAACAATCGAAAATGGAAATTAAATTTCGTGGGGCACAAGTTCCTGTTGTAGAACCCCTTTCAATGATATGTGTAGAAATATGATTTGTATTTCTAAGTGATTTGTAACTATATGACTTGTATCTTACTATTTTAAACTCCTGATCTGAATAACTTCGTTTAAACATTAAATTTTGCCCCGGCCGTGCAATCAGAATATGGTTATCAAACTGTTTCATTGCATTTCGCTATTGAGAGCATAAACAGTGCACATTAGCCCGGAAATAAGCCACCTTCTTAACCTGCAAAAAAAGTGGGGGATCACTTATTGGAGTTGTCGGTGTACTCATTTCCGCTCACCGCGTTAAAGCGATAGTTAAGTTCTGTTGCAGAGGGCGCTACGCAAAATATTTTTCTATGAGATAATGAAAAACTGAGGGTCAAATTTGAAATAACATACAATTTAAATGACAAAATGATCTTTGTTTGATCAAAAGCGGTTCAGAGACGGCTGAAATATCCATAAATATAACGAATTGTAATACTGGTGTTCAACCACAAATATAAGATCATTTGAAAAAGCCGTTGAAAAAACGAAATAGTGCCTTTTACGTCGTATTTCAGCAAATGCCGATGTTGGCTTTTTTTGTTGGCATTTTCGTGTTGGTTATATTACGCACAACCAGCCGGCCATGTATTGTTATTTTTAATTAAATAATTAGTTGACGGTCACCGTATTTTTTTTAAAGTGGAGCTGAATTGGTATGATCGTATTGGCTAAATTTCACACATTTTGGGGTCTAAAATTACCTTCATAGCAATTTTAGGTTCTAAAAGGGTGACTAGAAATGTCATAGATAAGAATAAGAGCAATGCACTTTGAAGGTATTTGCGCTCTGAAAACAGAACTCAACTATCCCTTTAAAATCATGTAAACACCACTTGGTCACCAAATCATTCCTTTAAAAGTTTTGTTAAATCAAACAAACAAAACATCTTACTCATATTTTATAATTGTCCTTCAAGCTTATTCTCATCCGATCACGTCACATGCTTCTTCGCGTGGCAAATTAAACTAACAGGATATCAGTCTCTGAGATGCATTTACGCCCCTTGAACTAACAATAATTTTTGTTTTGTAGCATTCTTTATTGCATTCATTCACTACAAAAGGAAAAAAATAATTTAATTAATCATAATTATGGCGTATGTGAAAATTGTCGAACATAAACTTCTCTGTAATGCACTGCGATATATTGAACACAAACATACACACACACACACACACACACACACACACACAAACTCTCTCGCTCTCTCTCTCCCTCCCCCCCCCCTCTCTCTCTCTCTCTCTCTCTCTCTCTCTATCCCCAATTTAAACATGTTGTACCAGCTTGTGTACACTGTCTGCAAGTACTTTGTTGACACAGCTCATCCACTCCAGTTCATTTCAAGAGTTCAGAAACGTTCCTGTGGCTGCTGGACAATTTTTTTAGTGTTCGTGAACTTGGTGTAGGAGTCTTGGTACGTGTGTGCGTATGTGTGTGTGTGTCTGTGTGTGTGTGTCTATGTGTGTCGCATGGTTGGATTGGGTTATGTTTCAACTGATTTTTTTTTCATCAATCGAACAGTGATGTAATGAAAATGTTTTGAATTCATGTCAAGATGAAAAACAACCGTATTTTATATCTAAGATTGATTTGGATTGTTTGATATAAAAAAAAACACCAATTGAAAATAGAAAATAAGGTGTGCGTGTTTGTGTTTGTGGAGGGGTGTATCGGACCTCCTTGATGAATTTGTTTGGGTGTGCATTTTCCCTCAATTTTTTTTTTTTTTTTTTTTTTTTTTTTTTTTGGGGGGGGGGGGGGGGGGTCCAGATATCGAGGGGAAAAGAACTTCACCCCTCGACATCTCCGCCCATGATATACATGTTATAGTACGAAATGACACTATATCTGTAAATTCCGAGTCACTATTAGTCAAACGCAGGCGCGTACACAGGGGGGGGGGGGGTTGGGGGTTGAACCCCCCCTTTGGTATTTTTTTTTGGTGTAAACCCCCCCCCCCCCCTTTGGTTTTTTTGTTTGGTTTTTTTTTAATTTATTAAAAAAAATATTCCCATGGCTGACCTAAAGAAGCTGACCTAAACCCCACCCCCCCCCCCCCCCCCCCCCCACGGAGCAAAATGTCAAATTTTCAAATTTCGAGACCAAAAATTCAGCGGCTGGCTGAGTCGTTGCGAAATTTTCGGCCAGATTTATAAATGTTAAACCCCCCCCCCCCCCCCTTGAAAAAATCCTGCGTACGCGCCTGGTCACACGAACACAGCGATCGACTCCACATCGTCTCCATACCGACCAATATGTGGCCATTCAGAGCAATGTTATGTTTTACTTTGTCTGTTGTCGGTTTCGTTGGTATGGCTGGGTTCAATAGTGGTGGAAGTTCTTCATAATACATTATTTCTCCTTTTGAAAAGAATAGTTTCATCCATGTATCATAGAATCCACGGAAGGTTGGTGTATAAATAAATGATAATTACAAAAGTTTCTGAGCACATAATTTTGTCTTAGCAGCTCGTTCTTCTCTGAAAGGAAAAAGAAATCTTACTCAAAATTGCCTGATTTTTTGCCAGACTTAGACTGAGGTTTAATTGGTCTGTCACTGTATTGTAGCGCTCTCTTGAAACCACTATAGAGACTAGTCTAAAAAGAACCCTGTAAAACCTCATCATGAACAGATCAGGGGGGCGTTTCACAAAACTTGTCATCAGTGACAAAGGACAATTTGTGTTATAAGCTACTGAAATCCTTGCTTCCGATTGGTTATCAGCAGATTTGTCACTGATTTTTGTTATTTGTCATTGAAAAAAAGCTTCGTGAAACGCCTCCCTGTTGTTCAATGATTTATCTTTTCTCCGCCCTAGTTAGCTTTATATTTAAAAACAAAACGTCACAATAAATTATTCTTGTCCCCTACTTTTATTATTTCCTATGAGTAGCTTGGCGAAGAAATTTCCCATAGTCACTCAAAATGGGCAAATTATACGGGGGGGGGGGGGGGGTGGAGGTGATGGAAAGGAGAACCACTTTTTTTTTGAGGGGGTGAAAATATCATTTTCTTCTTTTTTTGGGGGGGGGGGTCAGAGGGTCCCGCTTTTGTTCTTTATTTTTTTTAAAAGGTTAAATTTACGTTATTATCCTATAAGTCAAATCTGTAACAATTTTTGAAAACTAAATATGAACCATTAGAAAGGTTGTAACATTAACTTTGCAATGATACCAACATTATAAAGGTTAAAAGCCTAATTTTGAAACCTTCGCTCAGATTCTGATGCCTGTTTCATAATCTCGATACAGTTCCTGCTCTCTCTTTTAAAAGACGTTTTCTTTTTATTCCACTTTTTCAAAGAGCTATAGAATATCCCGTTTAAATTTTTTTTTATTATGAACTGAAAACCATGCAAGGCAATCTTATTTTCTGCTGATCGTGCGCATGGAATGTCGGCGCCACGTTTTCTGTTTCTTTTTTTTAAAGTGGGCTTTCTTTTCTATTTGCTCCACATAACTCAACAGCGAGGTGAGATGAAAGCAAATCTTTTCATGAACAGATCCTTTGTTCAATGATTTATATTTTTCCGCCTTCTTTAGCTCGATCTTTGTGTGAATAGGCGATATCATCCCGAATTAATAGTCCTTGACATTTTTTTATTTTAAAAGACTTACTCAGCCATGCTATAGAGTTGGACAAGTTGTTGGATTGCAGAGTGAACGCTATCATAGACAGTAACGGTTCAAGGCACGATATGGTGGAGGCTCAAATCCCCCTCCTCTCACAAAATGTTCGAGAGGCAAATGTAGAAAATGAATGCAATTACCCCATCCCTAAAGCCCCCC